AGGTTTTTTTTTTTTTTGGCTTACCGCCGTTGTTCTTGCCTCGTTGCATCTTATAGAAAACGAAGAGTTACTTTGTGTTCTTTAAGATAGAACGAAACAACAAGAACGGCAGTAAGCCAAAAAGAACCTCTGCTGTTAAATCAAGAGCGCATTTTGTTAGATCTTGTCTTAAAGATCGCGTCTTTGAGCCTGTTGCTCTGCTCGAGAAACTAAACGTTTGTATGTTGAGGTGAAAGAGATGCACAAAGAAAATTTCACGCGACGGATTTTGGTGGTGGAGCTATTCCGAATTAAAAGCTCCACCGGTTGGCGGGCCACAAAACCCAACCACCCGATGCTGGCCCAGCTTGAATCGCTATTGGTCCATCAACTTACACCAGAAACTTCATATCTAGGCACGCGATATACCCTACACCTGCAAAATGATGACAATGTTTTGGCGTTGACTTATCTGCAAATAGTTTGCTTATTATCAATAAAGGAGAAGTCAATATATCAGTCGAAATTAAGTGTAACAGTCAAACTGCTTTACCGAACGGTTTGTCGTTGCCGTTGCAGTCAATCCAAATAAGATTGAAAACAATTCCATTGTCGGTTGACGGTTGATGATCACGAACTTACTCTATGACTAAGCTGCCTTCACACACAACTACATCGCGCTGAACGTTCTCTATGCAAGCTGATACTGGATTTACCATTCTGTAGCCCAATACAAGATATCACTTAAGGATATTAGTGTGCTGATATGAAGATGCGAGATGTAAATGAAATACCCAATGGTATCGCACGAGTGACAATAGAAAAAAGGTCGACAGGGTTTTTGGCATTTTATGTGGGAACGACGAACAACGACTTAACAATGTAACATAGTACTGATTTAGTCATTTTTGCACTTAAAGTCTTGGTAGATAGTCATGGCCTGGTATCACATCCGAGATTGCTAAAGCCCAACATTCACAAGACACAAGACACAAGCTTCATAGTTTATGATAAACGATCGTCCTCTCAAATTGCGCAACATGATATATATGTACGGTTGTATGTACGGTTTCCCTTGTAAGCAGGGTAGCTTGAATCGAAGTTTGCCGATCCTAATCCTTCACATCCTTGTTCTCATACTCATCATCATCACAAGTGTTCCCACTTGTCTAAATCCTTCTCCTTCTTCGCAATCGAGGACATCCTTGTCTCTTTTGCAAACCTGGTAGGCACTTACTGCTGGCTGTTGCCGTTGTTACCAATCAGGTTGGGGGAGTTGCGGAGGTTACCGCTGATTCTGCCAGAGGTGGCAGTGGAGGTGAGCCAGTTGGTAACACCAGCGACACCGGAGACACCCTCGACAGAGATACCGTAGAGAGCAAGACCAGCAACGTGAGGAGTAGCCATGGAGGTACCGCTGATGCTGTTGGAGGCGGTGTTGCTGGTGTACCAGGCAGAGAGAACGTTAGAGCCGGGGGCGAAGATGTCGAGGACGGGGCCCCAGTTGGAGTAGGAGGCGATGGCCCAGTTGCTGTCAATAGCACCGACAGTGATAGCGCTAGGAGCAGAAGCAGGAGAAACGTTGGCGGCGTTCTGACCCTCGTTACCAGCAGCAATGGTGGAGATGATACCGGAGCGGGAAGCAGACTCAACAGCGTTGTTGAAAGCAGCAGAGTAACCACCACCAAGAGACATGCTGACGACGGAGACTCGGGTTCGGCTCTTGGAGATGATATCGTTGGCAGCCCAGTTGAAGCCACCGAGGATGATGGAGGTGCTGGAAGAGCTGCCCTGGAAAACCTTGACAGCCTGGATGGTGGCCTTCTTAGCGACACCGTAGGTCCTTCCAGCAATGGTACCGGCAACATGAGTTCCGTGGCCGTTAGTATCAGCGTTCTGGCCGCTGAAGGCAGTGTAGACAGCCTGAGCACGGCCCTCGAAGTCGTTGTGAGTGGCTCGGATACCGGTGTCAACGACATAGGCGTAAGTGCCCTGGCCAGCATTGGTATCGTAGATGTAGGTGGTAGATCCCCTGGTTCGGTGAGAGACCGTTCCAAGTCCCCAGGGAGCGCCAGTCTGGCTGGTCAAGGCACGCTTGGAGAGAGAAACATCCTCCTCGGCCTCATCGACAAAGTTGATGGTCCAGACACGGTCCTCTTCGACCTCGGCGACCTGTGTCACTGTCAGCATGACCTGGAGTAGAACGACGTGGGGTTACTTACATCAGGGCTCTTCTTGATCTCATCGATAGTGCTCTTGTCGAAAGAACCAGCATAGCCGGAGAAGCCATACTTGCCCTTGTAGGTGCGCTCAACACCCTTCTCAGCACGCTCGTTCAGTCCACGCTTGTGAACATCTCCGACCCAGCTAAGATGGCTCTCAAGCTTGGCGGCAGCGATGTCAGACTTGAGGGTGACGATGTACTTGCCGGGGATGACCTCAGTAGAGTCAACCTTGGCAGTAGGAGCAGCGTTGGCGAGGCCGAGAAGGCTGGTCGCAGCGACGGCGAGGTTCTTGAAGTTAACCATTGTGAAAAGACAGAGGCAGAGGCAAGTGTAAGGCTTGGAGTGTTGAGGAGGATGAGGATGATGAGGATAGTTGATCAAAGGAGGGAGATCATGGGAGCTTATATAGTTGTCGATCCACCTGGGTGCACGGCTTCGCCTTCAGTGATATTAGCATCGAGATCCATCATGACTGCAACAACAGAGTATCTTGCCTCTATTCTCAGACATGCTGCATCCAAGGCACAATCGAAGGGAGGAAATTCATCAACTTCCTTTTGCGGAAGAGAGTGAATGCTTCACACAGTGTCCCATCGTTGTCTTTGCGGGATCCAACGCAAAAAGGAAGGCGAGTCGTGGTGTATCGAGGCGGCATGGGGCCTGGGAGGCAACGCAGGATGGCAAACGACGCAAAAGTCCTCGAGGAATGCAAGAAGCTGGTCGTTAGACTGGGTCTCAAGCACGACCTGCATGCATGGAACCTCTCATCTGAGCGGATATCGTGATGATAAAGCCTTGAAGACAATAACAGAGTTGTTCTAACGGGCAGGACACATTGTTTGATACAACCATCGACAAGATTCAAAGTTTAACAGGGTTCATTGACATGTGACGAAACTGGACAACAGACTGGACGAAATCTCTGTCAAATGACTTTGCGAGATTGGACGTTGAGGTGGCTGCTTGGTCTGTTCTCGCTGGGGTCAATTATGATCGACACTGCACTAACAGAGGGACTGTGCGATCCGCTAGGAAGCCCTCATTAAAGAGACATATAGCCGGCCACTAGGTTCTGACAGCTCTGTATAGTGATTGCTGGTATCTAAAGATCGGAAACTTGATGTAAAGTTGACCGAGGTGGAAGGCAGATAGACGCTGTTGTGTCTTGAGGACTGGCGCCAGGGGTCGGAATAAAGCCACTCGGAGTCATGGAGCGGTCCGCACAAGATGCATAACACAGGTTGGGCGTCTATGGTCGATGGATAGTAGGACTGATAGTTGAGAGTATCTGCGAGAAGTTAGTGAACTGCCCAATAAGGCAACAATGCTCCCCCGCAACTCCAGTGGCCAAGCCAAGCTAGACGAATCGTCTTGATAACATACCCTTACTCACAGGAAGAGCCGCGAAGGGTCTCACCCATTAAGCTCTACCATTGCCTAATTGAGAACCACAGTGCTGAGCATCCTGCTAACTTCCTCTTCGGGGCACTTTGGCCGTCTTGGTGCGCATCGTTGCCGCCGTTGACTTTGTGATTCAAGACATTGTTTTGGATACTCTCTTCCATCGAGGCTGAGGCGGCTAGGATGGTAAGGCTAAGCTATACACTTGCATGCCTTGCTTAACCCACATATCCTTCCACTTGAGGCTGATCAAGGAGGGCAGCGTGATTCTCATTCGATGTGAGGGGTTGGAAGTGATAAACGGGTACTGTACTCGGAACACAAGACGATCTGAACTGAGACTTTCTAACGCGAATGAGGCTTGATGAGAACATCACGGTAGTTCTAAGCGAATAGACCGTGGAGTCTGATATCCCTGCATTGAAGTCGTCATAATCTAAATTCCATCAGTTTTGTTCGCCTATGGATGATAGTTGTGTTGTAAGTCGAGTGGAGTTGAAGATGAAGGTGTCGGGAATAATTACAGGCGGGGCATAGAGTGGGGTTAGATCGTGGCGTTCATCTAACCAGTGAAATTATCGGCAAGAGCGGTATCCATCCACTTTCTTGGCCTCAGGGTGTCAGAAGAATTGACCCTGGGAAGCATAAGAGATGAAATAATTTAGTCAACTTATGCTAGTTTAGGCTCCTATCTAGACTGTTTTATTTCTGTAGCTTGAGCCTTAGATGACAGTCTTTCTGTTACCCCCACCTGCTTGGCTCCTTAAGGATAAGATTTAGTGGCCGAGGGGGGAAGGCGCACCCCAAAAGTTTAACTTACACGACTCTTTCAGGTACTTGCTGACTCTGATTCACTGCGGCATTGCCTGCCCGCCTCACCTGCCGTAAGACAACATCAGACATCAGCCCTCTTGCAGTTGCCAGACCTGGTGCTAGACCTACCTCGACACGGAAGTTTTCACAATTAAGGTAGGCGCTATAAGCACTCAGTGCCTCCTCCAACTGCGTCATAAATCCTTCCAAACCTGGCTTTCACCAAGGTAAGACAAACCTCAGAATCAAATGAACCCCACCTTCCCATCCATCTCATGGATCTCATGACCCTTGTCTCTCAAACCTGCATACAGCGCAGCATTCGTTTACTCCATCAATCAACCCATCCATCCTTATCAGCACCACCTGATTCTATCCGAACAAAAGTGCTCAGCGACAGCATCTTCCCCCAGGTTGATATACCCTTTACAATATGCTGCATTAGCTTATCGACTGCCAAGATCCTTTTGCATTGCCATATCAAGCAATACCTGAACTCCGCAGGTATCATACTCGAGGCTATTCGTGGAAACCACTAACGACCAGTGGCACGCCATTTCCAACAATGCTTACATGTTTCTAGCGTCTTTTCTGACCAACTTTGTCTCATTTCAAGCGAGACGGCAACCGCAATCCTCCCGGGTCCCCTGGCCGCACCAGATATCTCAACTCAAGTCAGCGATTGGCTGCTACGTACAGTACTATCATCGGTTCCTTACCTCTAGCGTTTGCTGAATCTTCTCAGCGCCTACGGATACAATGTTAAGCTTGTCGACGTGTCGGGCCATTCTCCCGGATCTGCGCCGCACGATCACCACGGCCCGCCTGAATCCTGATGATGAGGGGTCAGCGATGTTGCTATCGTAGCAAGGCTCAGGAACAGGACCGAGAGCTAAGCTTGATCTTGCGACCGGCTGAGTTGAACCTGCTACCAAGTCTTTCGCAAGGTCGCCCAGGAAACTCTCCGGTATTAGATTGCACCCTTACTATCCGTACTACGACCCTGAACTAGCCACTGACTAGTCACTGCCCGACTCATGGCTCCCAACCCAATATCGCGGGCAAGGGTAGTATTCACCTTAACAAGAATAGTCCGAGAAAATATAGGGTCCCTCTCGTTTTGGATGAGATCATCGCTGGGGCATGCCGCATGCTGTACCCCGAGAACCCTTGTGGCTTTCGAACTCAAGCATGTCGCCATTGCCTAAGATCTTGCAGCTCAGGGCCTTAGTAACAAAAGTCCTTGCGACGTCAACATCTTTGGCTCCTTCCTAGCTGGTAACTTTAGCCCGAGACCGAGATACAACTGCAGTGTCGCGATAAGGATCCTATCTTGCGCAAATCCTCAGGACGAATAGTATCTCTGCCATTCACTGCGCGACTCACGGATACATGTTTCCCACTTCTACACCTCACTAAGATACGAAAACAACGGCCTTGGTACCGTGAAAGCTGCGATTGGGCGGACACTCCTCTTCTGCGATATCCAGCAACCATTACCTGAGTGTGCCTCAAGGTGCAACGTTAACGGTAGAGGTCGCACCCAATTATCTCACTCTAGAGAGTTCTAAACTTCCAGATTGCTCTCGACGTCAGCAAAAGGGTGTTCAGTTAACACCCTCAAGATATGATCTTCCGGCAAGTGTTTATGCATGTTGTTCCTAGAGTACCTTCTTTTGGCTTGACCTTTTGCTTCCACTCCCACCGTTGACGAGGGCTAGCATCTGTTACCTTCCTTTTCTCGAGAGATATCAGGATGGCGCCAGTAGTGTTTAACTCAACATCATATCAGCGGTTCAAGCGCTCGGCAAAGATCCCATTGGATCTTGTGTTATTGCACAAGATGGAACCAGATGGTTGTCTTGTAGCGAGTGCTCTGCAAACTTGAATTGGACGGTCACCTTTCTTGGAAGGAGACTCGCGGTCAAAGCACGTCATTGAAGAGGATCATTGGTAATCCCAGGAAAAGTCAGCAACCTGTCTCTCCAATATGTCGTGACTCTCATCTTGGTCTCCTCCTTTCCCTATCAGATTCAAGGGGCAGGATAGGGCAATGATCATAATTTGACCCAGTTGCTTCGGGTGAGAAGGGTAAGGGGCTGTTCAGAACTGGTACAGAATGACAGAAAGTCATCAACAATGTTACCTCTGCAAAAGGCGGCCTAGTATTGCCGCTAGAGAGTATTTTACTACTTCTCGTCGACTACTGCCAAAAATGGATGTAGGAGACATGCTAACGCTATGACAAGAAGAATGCTTAAAGCCGCCAGTGGCTATCTTACTGCACACAAGGCATCCTCCCCAGGTAATCAATCAATACGTCCTCGTTGCACAGCATAAAACCTCACTTACGACATAAGCAAGTTATCCCAACACTACCAGCAGTATCCGTGGTGTTTGTGACGACAACCAGTTCCTAAGCCTCTGCATTTATAACTCCTAGCCGTAGCTCTAGCCATCTGGACTGCCGAGCGTAAGACTGTTGGCTGACACTATTGGCATCCTATCTGCATATGGTACTGCCCCCTATTGGTTCCAGATCGTGGGATCAGGCACCCGCTATCGCAAAGGATGTGAGTGTCAGCTTCAGATATCGGTTGTTGGCTCCTACGCTGTCTCAGCATGTAGGCTTTGTCAGATATAACCTTAATCAGACCTCGTTTGAGACGAGAGCGCGTTTATCTCATTCTATTTGATGTCTAAGACAACACTTACACATGTCCTTTATCCATCTTGGACATAGATCCTTCGAGCTGATCTCTCGACAACCTTTCGAAAACCCCCAGTTACGAACCTACCCCTTATCTCCCGTGATTACGTTGACCCTTTCGATACCCCTCTTCCACGAAGACATGCCTCCTGTTCCCGATGACAAGACTCAACCATCTTCAGAGAATGAGCGAGCGAGAGACGTATCACACACACCGTTCACGAAAAGTACCTTTCCCTCGAGAAGGCTCTACACGTATTGCTTTTGGTTCGAGTGTATAGGGACATGCCAAGTTTATGTTTATCAGCCTAAAGCTGACGATGACCTCTACAACGACCCCCTTTCATAGCCTTATGTAACAACATCGGTCGACTATACTATCAGAAATCGAAAAACCTCCACGCTTCGCTTGTCTCACATATACCATATCGTCTTCGAATGTTCTGGCGAATCCACAAGGTGATATCAGAGAGTTAAGGGCTATATTGTCGTGCTGGGCCTTGAAAGAGATTGCTGGGAGTTGCTACCTACACGGGTACCCGTGCGTTTACATAAGTATGGATCTCACCTCAAGCAAAGATTTGCGCGGTTACTGTGTCGCCAGAGTGAATTTGAGACTTAAATTTATTATCCCGTACTGAAATACATCGTGGGTACTGCGTCTCGATGGAGTGTCCTTCTTGAGCTATGATATCGTGTTGAATTTTGGAAGATATCACTGGGCAGTATTTGCACGGGTACCCGTGCATAGTAATTTTCGGCATGGCTACTCATACGTGCACGGGTACCCGTGCGTTTACATAACCATCTTGACTGGACAAGCAGACCGTTAAAAGACTTGGAAATAGCCATGGTGTTGAATCCCACTTCGAGCAGAGGGTTGCGCAGTTCCAGTGTCACCAGAGCGGATTTGATACTTAAGCTCATCTGTTACTAACATACACTACGGCTAATAGATTTCACTTCCCATCTAAGAATGAACCTGCATACCCAGATACTGCGTCTTGATGGCAGTGTCCTTCTTTGCACCATGAACACCAAACTTGACAACCTCACCAGGAACAATGTCAACCAGATTATCCTCGAACCTGACCTCGTCGTCCTCGCATTCGAGAGCCAGACCTTTGATAGGAACCTCGGCACTAACCTCCACAGTCTTAGAAGATTCATTGACCTCGACTTTGAGGCTCTTTGGCTTCTGGAAGTGCAGATACTTCAGTGGTTCAGGCCAGTTGACATATCGCGCAATCTGCTTGCCATCTTGGTACAGGTAGGCAGCGACGACAGTCTTTGCTTCGAGGTCAGCGTTGGGCTTCTCAACTGGTACATCCAAAGTCTTGATCTCTGTTGAGCGGTTGCTTTGGAGAACAAAGTCCGAATGCACTGTTTGAGAGTAGGTTTCCTTTCCAGTCTCGACATTCCAAGCTTTGACTACACAGTCCACAGTCACGTCTTCCAAGTTGAGGTTGCTTCCCCAAATCTCGACTTGAGTCTTGGTGTCGACGTCGACTCTGGTGTACTTGTTCTTGGGGTGCTTGTGTTCTCGGCGCGTCATTCCGATGGTGACGGGCGCCATCTCTCGCTTGATGGTGTAGTATGAGTGCTTGGGTCGGAGGTAGTAATCACAGATAGCCCACGAGGTGACAGGCCAACAGTCGTTGGTCTGCCATACTAGGACGCCACTGCAGTACTCCTTCTTGGGCCCCTGCCATTGTCGCTTCCAAAGTCGATAGGCCGAGGCCAACGCTTCAGCTTGCAGTAGCTGACTGTAGTAGATATAGTCCTCCAAAGGATCGATGGTAAATCGGAAGTTTTCTGCCATGTAAAGACCCAGTCGACGCAACTGTCCATCGGCCTTGTTGTGGAAGTCAACCGTGGACGAGCTTGCAAATCGCTCAGGGTCGTCTTTGCCCTTTGGAAGGTACGCATCAATGGTCTTGATACTGGGAAAACCCTCCATACCAAATTCAGAAACAAAACGGCCGACAAGCTTATCGAAGTCTTGGTATCTCTGCTGGGAGCCATGCCAAACATTCCACTGGTGAATATCTCCGATCGTGGGATCGCTGGTGAGCTTCCCACCCCACGGGCTGGCAATGTGGTAGATAGCATTAGTATGCAGATCCTTGCAGGCTTCTGGAAGAACCTTTTCGTAGATGTATCGTGCTGGGAAGTCAGTCTTCAACCAGCTTTCTGGGTCATGGTCATCAAAGTCATAAGTGAGATTCTCCGACTCGCGGACTTGGTAGTCTTCGTTGTTTCCAGCCCAAAGGATAATTGAGGGATGGTGACGCAGTCGCTTGATGTTCTCTCGAGCCTCTCTGTCAATAGACTTGAGGAATTCGGGATAGGCCGGGTAGTTTCCGCAGGCGAACATGAAATCTTGCCAAACAAGAATACCGAATTCATCGCAAGCGTCGTAGAAAACGTCTTCTTCGTAAATGCCACCACCCCAAACTCGAAGCATGAACTGATTCCCATCAGCGACAAGCTTGACCCAGTCTCTATACCTGTCTTTGGAAATTCGAGGGATGAAGTTGTCTGCTGGGATCCAGTTGCTGCCGCCGCAGAAAATTGGGATGTTGTTGACTCTGAAGAAAAAGCTGGTGCCAGGCTGTCCATCAAGCTCTCGTTCAACGAGCTCGAGTTTTCGGAGGCCGATTCTCTTGGAACTCGAATCGATTTCGTCGTCTTCATCAAGAAGACTTGCCTTTATCGTATACAAAGGCTGCTTTCCATATCTGATTGGATACCACAGAGCGGGATCTTGGATGTGGAATGTGGTAGTTGCATGTTCGTCCTTTACCTTTGCGGTTTCGGACGCAACCCCCTTTCCATCCAGAGAAACATCGAACCGTACTTTTGATGCTTTCCCTTCGACTGCTGCGTGAACAGTGACCTTTGCTGTTTTGAGAGAGTCTTCCACTTCAAATTCGGAGTTGAGATCAACGATACGAGACTCGTAGACTTCGAGATTTACAGGTCTCCAAGGACCGCATGTGAGCATAGCAGGACCCCAGTCCCAGCCCTAGAGATGGTCAGCTGTGAAATATGTGCATAGGTAAAGACTAGCCTACCCAGTGGTATTGTGCCTTTCGAACAGGCAGTCTCGAGCCATCTCCATTCCAGACGATGTACTTGTGATCAGGGTGTTCTTCCGCCAACTTCCAGCCTCTAAGATAAGCAGCATCAAAAGTGATGCGAAGTTCATTCTCGCCATCTTTCTTGAGATGCTTCGTGACATCCACACGCTCAGGAATAAACATATTCTCCGTCTCAAGAATCTTCTCACCATTCAGTTCAACGGTAGCAAAAGTGTCGAGTCCATCAAAGGCCAATACTGCCTTCTCGTCATCACCAACTTTCGGGCTAGAAAAGGTGGTCTTGTAGACCCAGACAGTCTCTCCGATCCATTGAACCTGCAACTCATTCTTCCCAATGTACGGATCAGGAATCTTTTTGTGATGCAAGAGATCGAGATGAACGTTGGTAGGAAATTGAGCGACGGGTAGATAACACTCGTCGTCTTCCTTTTCCTGCTTGAACTGCCAGTTCTTATTGACTGGCGTGACTGTGCGGGGAGCCATCCTGGAGCTTGAAGCTATTCGCGGCGCGCTATGAGAGCTTTCAAGATGATTCAACTTCTGATAAAAGATGTTAGTCTAGAATAAGGAACAAGGAGGAATGATGTTACCATGGTGTCTTGGGCATGGAAGGAACGATGAGTTTAACCGGCGAGGCAGGTGCAAGAACGACCCATTGACCCCGCGATGCACGAAAACCCCCAAACCCCCATCAATTGACGATCCTGGTAACACAAGCATTGAATTGTCATAGTTCGCTCTCTCAGTGGTGGATTTGTCAATAACACGGTACACAGCAGACGAACACCCACTTCCGCTCCAACGGGACGTTGATCCGATGGGCCCCTCAATTGGTGGTAAATCCGGGTTAATGACGTTGGATGCTTTTACGTACAGCTTGCAGATGCAATAAGCATCGGCGATTTGTACGAAATATGCATGTGAATCGCATCCGAGGGTTCGTATTCGAAGATGTATCTCCAGCGCCAATGTATCTTTGTTGACTTCTGTATACGTGCCAAGCCGTGTCTTGGTGCTATCAGAGTCTCGGTACGAGAAGTCTACCGGAATCAAAATCATGGGATATTTAACGTAGCTTGAAGAGATCCGGTCCATCTCATACTCGCAAATCATTGTCATGACTATATACCGACTTAAACGCAAGCAGGTCAAACCTACACAACCAAAGAACTCCTATCAACCTTGCGCAACCTGACATCTATGCCAAACGCCGACGCGCTCCTGAACGAATGTCTCACGAAACGATATTCCCAAAAACACTACCAGCCTAAGCATATAACCAGATAGCTTAGTTCAACAACAGCCGCCTCCTCTTCGTCGACTGCTGAGTGTAAACACTTCTTCCCACTCTCGTAGTCCCCAGTTCTGTGTTCTGTTCTTCTTCCGCCTTCGCCTGAGTCCGTTGTGAACGTCGTCCACGGTGGCACCTGTCATGGAACTCTTAATACTGCCGCCGTCACTAGCTGTGTTCCATCCACCGCTGTCGCCGTACTGAATTCCGCTTGCAGGGTCATCGGGATCGATTTCGCCAAGCTCGATCTTTGTGAGAATTATCCTTGCTAGTCTTTCGAAGATCTCGTCGACGCCTTCGCCGTTGAATGCGCTCGCCTCGGTTACTACTGATATTCCTGCCGTGCTGGCCCATCGACTGGACTCGGCTCTTGTGACTTCTCTGCCCTCTGGCGCCACAGTCGCCCTTAGTTGACTTCCTGTACTTATGGATGTTCCTCGATCTCGAGTTGTGGCTGTACTTGTGTAAGAGCTACCTCCGGCGCCGAGCATACCAGATGTTAGAGTTGAATTCGAGTGAACGCTATTCGGTGTCGGGGGCGGAAGGCTTGTATCGACGAGTGTATCTGTAAGGTCCACTTTATTGCCCACGAGCATAAGACTAAGGTTCGGCGATGCAAGGGCTCGGGCGTCGTTGAGGAAAGGTTGTAGGTTTCGGAAGGATGCGTGAGAGGTCAGGTCGTAGACGAGAATAGCGCCCGCGGCGCCTCGATAATAGGAGCGAGAGACTGATCGAAACCGTTCTGTTCCAGCCGTATCCCAAAGCTGTATCTCGTCAATATCGTCTCTGTTGTTGCGCCATCGCAAGATGTACCTGAAGCTTTATCCGTTTCCGCCTTGATCCGGTGCCAACTTTAATGATTTTGGTGGCAAACTCAACGCCGATGGTTTGCGAAGACAAGACTCGCCATTCATTCTTGACAAAGCGATGTAATAGGCATGACCTATAAATGCGCGCAACGGTCAGCCAAAGACTCGGTTATGCAGGCGCCGGTGATCGCTAAACATCGTATCGGCGGTCCATCGATTGTCTTGGAGGATGACGTACTTTCCCGTCCCGCTTGGCCCAAGCAATATAATCTTCGCGAGGTAATCATACATGCTCCCTAGCTCCTTTATCGCCAACAGTCAGTCGCTCTGCTCTGATAAGAGCTGTGTTCCTGTCGCCTACCTGCTCGCGAGCTGTACCGGAGCTCTCCTCGCTCGCGCCAGAGTGTCGACGCGGTCTATTCATCGCGGGCGAATGATGAGGGTTTGGAAGTTAATTGCGGATAAGTTTCAAAGGGTCGAACGATGTCGCATGTCTTGGCTCTTTGTCGATCTTATCGCGGTAGGATATGTAGGAGAGGAAAGCGATTATTAGGCGAGTTGAGGTGCAGGGGATATCGGAGAGAATTAATCGATTGTGCGTGTAATCGTCAAGTTTGAAACTGGCAAGGAAAAAAGACAATGCGATCAAGGGTTGTTCTGTGTTGACTGTACATGTACTGTAACGTACATGCCCTGCTCGGTGAGAGCGAACGGAAGGGTGGGTCGCCCTGTAAATAGCCCAAGCCCTTGAGCTTCTGCAGCTGCAACGAGAGATAGCGTCATTATGTGATGATAACGTGACGATGAAAATAGCAGCCCGATAACACCGCCAAAGCTTGGCTATCTTACATTTAAACTTGAGTGGATCGGCTCCAGTTGTTGGGTATCAGAGCTAAAATCTACTGTAGCTTCGATCCTTAGAGCTTGCGTCGATTAGTGAAATACGTGGATCTCAGGGTCTTTTACTCTCTGCTTGCCCGATGCTTGTAGAACTACTCAATAAGACATCCTAACTAAATGATGTACGACCACAGACAACAACAAAGACTTGGATATTTGTGATCAACAGCTGAAATGGGCAAGTGTGTAACTCAGTTGTTCAATAACTTGGTATTCACAACTAAATTGGTCAATAGTCACTTGGTCTAAGTCGAGAATGGAGTCTTTGACATCGCCGATCTCAAATGGCGGTAGCACCATATCTTTGACTTTAAAAAATATTAAAATCAAATGAAGTAAATAGTACGTTATTGAGAATTCTTTCATGAGTATGTCTTTGACATGTGAGTTCTGTAAGGTGTGTCATAAGATAATCACATTCTTGAAATGACGTTCCATGAGACAACGATAAATACTACAACAAAATCCCAAGACAAAGGTTACATATAAGCGCCTGAAACACATGCAGAACTGATGATACGTGCGTGCATGCTAAACCACTCTCTTGGCTCTTGGTGCGCTGTCATTCTAGAGTCGTTTAACAGCTCTGTATCCATCTGTAGGCTAGGTTTACTTGCATCAGTTCAGTGGATGCAGCCCTGGAGTGCATGATGATGATGCCGAGGCATGTTCGGTTCAGCCACCCCCGGATTCCCCACGTGTGCCGAGACGATCAATTACACAGAACATATTCTCTACACTTCATTCTCCTATTCTCAATAACATCAACAATTGAAAATGAAGGTCGAGGGTCGAACATTTCTCATCTCAGGCGGGTAAGCAAACATCGGTGTCCCTTACGGTTTACCCACTGTACTCACTAACACGTTTAGTGCATCAGGTCTTGGCCAGGCTTGTGTGGAAGATATATGCGCCAACGGCGGTAATGTGGCTATTCTGGACATGAACGAGGAAGCCGGTCAGGAATTGGTTAAAAAGCTATCCACCTCGACCAAGTTTTTTGAATGCAATGTTCTGGAGACTGAGAGCGTTTCCAAGGCAGTGCAGGATGCTGCTAAGTGGGCAAAGGAGACAGGCAAGCCTTTGGGAGGTGTGATAGCTGCTGCTGGTGTTTCTACACCTGCTACGGTAAGATCTGAAGAATAGCAAATGCCTTATAGTGAGACTAACATCATATAGATCCTCGACCGAGATGGCTCTGCCTTTAGTCTGGATGACTTTGACTTTGTTCTCAACGTCAACCTCCGAGGCACAATCGACCTGGTCCGCCAGACTCTGGAACATCTGGCCAAGGTGGAACCCCATGGACCAGACGGCGAGAGAGGCGTTGTGATCATGGTCGCATCATCAGCAGCATTCGACGGTCAAAAAGGTCAAGTTTCATACTCCGCCAGTAAAGGCGCCGTGACGGCCATGACTTTACCCATGGCACGAGATCTCGCGCGCTTTGGAATTCGAGTTGTGACAATTGCGCCCAGTTTGTTCGAGAGTCGAATGACCAGCGTCATGTCTGAAAAGGTCAGAAAGAGTCTCGAGGGCGCGATGGAGTTTCCCAAGAGAGCTGGTCAGCCCAAGGAGTTTGCGCAGTTGGCGAGACAGGGTATTGAGAATGTCATGTTGAATGGTGTGGTTATGAGATTGGATGGTGCTATGAGAATGCCCAGCAAGATGTAATTGGGCGATTTGTAATACTGTACTTGATTTTTAATTTTATTAATACGCTTCTTGTATTTGGTGATATAATCAGCGTGTTAGTTGATGTAAACCACCTGTATTTTGAGGTAATATTATTGCCGAGGGTGCTATCCGGGATCGGCATGCCGGCTTAGACCTTATCCGCTCACGACATTCGTAATCGTCTCCAAAGACCTCTGCCGATACTCTCACCTATCGAAACTCAGAAGAATATACAAGTCCTATCAGTACCTGAAGGGCATGATTCAACTTTCAAGGATCACATCTTGTCTCAAGAGCAGAACCTCGCACAGTGTCTCCATCGGACTTAGACGACCCGGGACTGTACAGTATTTACTTCAGACATCATCATTAGCACCAACGCCAACTTACATCTCATCACTATCACGACAATTGAGAACTTACAAAATGGCCCCAACTAAAGTGGCAGTCTTGGACGACTATCAGGGAGTCGCAGACCCCTACTTCGCAAAACTCGACTCATCCAAGTATGAAGTAGTGTCTCTCAAGGATACAGCGCTGCCTTACAACCACCCAGACAACACACAATCAGGCAGAGATGCATTGGTAGAGAAGTTGCAGCCATTTGAGATAATATGTATGAGACATGATTTTCACGACTGCATCAGAGCAAGATACTGACCAGCTTCTTAGGTACCATGCGAGAGCGCACACCCTTCCCCGCAGAATTGATCGAGAGACTTCCCTCTCTCAAGCTCCTACTCACAACAGCCTTCAGAAACAGAGCCCTGGACCTAGACTCCCTCACAGCAAGAGGCATCCCCGTTGCCGGCACAGGCGAAAAGCCCAAGACCGGCAAGAAGACAGCTGGCGTCAGCAGTACCGTGCAGCACTGCATCACTCTCATCATGTCTCTCGCTCGCGGTATCGCCAGGGATGATGCCGCCATGAAAGAAGGTCTGTGGCAAACAGGTCTTGCTACAGACCTCTCCGGCAAGACAATGGGTGTCCTCGGCCTCGGAAGGTTGGGAGCCGCCGTTGCGAGGATTCTGCACGTTGCATTCGGCATGAGGATCATTGCCTGGAGCACCAACCTCACTCAAGAGGCGGCAGATGAAAAGGCAAGGGAAGCTGGTCTTCCTGTCGAAGACGCGGATGGCGAAAAGACTTTCAAAGTAATATCCCGAGAGGAACTTTTCAGCCAAGCCGACGTTGTATCCGTACACCTCGTTCTCTCAGACCGATCACGCGGCATCGTCAACGCCCAAGACTTGGCAAAGATGAAACCATCAGCCCTCCTCGTCAATACGTCTCGCGGACCTCTGGTGGTGGAGAAGGATCTTCTCGATCATCTCAAAGCAGGCCGCATCAGGGGCGCAGCTCTCGACGTCTATGATCTCGAGCCTCTGCCAAAGGACAGCGAGTGGCGCAGCAAGAACTGGGGACGCGACGGATCGAGTCAGGTCCTGCTCACGCCTCACATGGGCTACGTGGAGGAGGATACTCTCAAGTCGTGGTACGAGCAGCAGGTTGAGAACATCGGTCGATGGGCTGCCAACGAGCCTCTGCAGAATTCGTTCACTTGAGTATGATCGACAAAGAGGAGACAGGGACGAGGTTTCTAGAAGGACGGCTGACTTGCAGAATCATGTTTCATCCAAACGGCAGAGATAGAGTAAAAAAGCAAATATATATAATCTGCAACAGCGACTGGGCAGGATCGCATCTATCCATGACCTTGAAAGTTGTCCGTGATAGGCTATGTAACCACCAGATCCTTTGTAATATGCACGACACGTTCAAAGAGGATCTGCATGCTACCGTAGAACGACGGGCCTACCCGCGCCCCGGATTTTCCAAGACGTCTTTGTGGTTCATATTGCTCCGAAATGAAGCCTTGGGATCCACGACTGCAGATGTAGATCAAACAACGGTTGTCGATCATATCTTTAATGGTATTTCCGAGTCGCTCTGTCGCTTCTCTTTCCTTTTTACGATAGGATACGCGTCTCGACTCGCCCCCTTGTATATGTGTTGTTTTGTAGGTATGCATAGATCTTTCTCACGCCGTAGTTCCCTCCACAGTTTCAGGCTCTTCAGAAATACGCTCGTTGGCGACTCGTATGTCAACGAATCATGTCTGAAGTCACATACTCGAACCGAGTCCAATAGTTTCAACAGCAAAGTATATTCTGCAAATGTCCACGAATAAGCGCCATGTTTGAACTCAGCAGACCACAATTACTCCTCTAAGCCCTATCCGTCTCTGCAGGGTTCTCGACCATACCTAAGAAGTCATCGCGAATTTCCACAGTTGTCTCTAAAGCAGAACCGCATACTCGGCATGGATCTTCAGCTGGTGTCGGGAGCGGCGGCGCGTCCCTTTTAGTCCTCCTTCTGAGACATGGGAAAGTCGAAAATCGGATTTATAACCTCGAAGAGCCATATTCGTCTTAGCGAAGAGTGAGACAGAAACTAAACAAGCCTTTTTTCGCTCACATGGTATTCAAGTCGCTTAGTACGAGTCTCAGTTACGAGGCCACCCAGCGTTTACAGGGCATTAATAGTGTGTTCTCGGACAGAGCGCTCGACTATCGTGGATCTAGTGATATGAGATCCTTGAAGTTGCATGTTTATACAAGGGTTGTCAAAGTGTCAACTACTAGTGCAGCGGGCCGCCTACCGTAACGGCGGAGCTAGACCGGGCCATGGCTTGCGGGAAGAAGCTGAGTGAGAAGAACGAGATTGTTTACTGTATGTACAGTATGGTCTGATGTGCTTAACTTTCTGGCTATGTCACGGATCTGCATCACAATAGCCTGTCCCTGTTCCCGCTTCCCCGCTCCCTGAGAACTAAGAAGCTTGGGTGCTGTAAGGACGGGCCATGGATTTGATATTACTACCCCCTTGTCTTTCGTTGTCTTTCAAGCGTATCATCACGATCTCTCACTCTCCCATCCTCAGCCATTCGTTCGCTATTGTCTGTACGTACTTGCGCCACGGTTGCTCCTTCACACAGCCATTCACAAGGGTTCCTAGCAATTGCAACATGCAGCATCAAATTTCCAATCTGGAAATCCGAATTTCTTTCTTCTTTTTGATCTCGGCAGTTTCTCTTCATTCAGAAGAATGATTCACCAGAGACACTTTCCAGGACACTTTGTTCCGGTGTAAGTGAGAGTAAAAAGGTAACTAACGTTGGGTACCGGAAGCAAGCCGGCCCACCAATAGAACTGAGATTCTATCATCTTTAACCGTGACGTCGGCTAAGCTACTTGGCTCGAAAGCTTATTCACAGCTCACTACTGTACGATTCAAGAAAGCCTTCAACGTCATGGCCTCAGCTTCGCGTAAAGAACAATACGTGATGGCGTCTATGACACCTACGTAGGTTCATGCTAAAATCTCTCCCAAGATGAGACCGTTGAAGCTTGAGCAGCAGTTGAATAAATCAAGGGGGAAATATCTTGGAAAGACGTTGGATTACCGTCTTCGCGGTTAGACCATGTACACCCGTTGAGTCTAAAAGGTACTTCCCGTTGACAGATAGTGAGCAAACCAGGGTTACCCCAGACAATGTACCCAATTATTCCTATTCGGATTTCTCCTTTGGATACTTACTGGCGGTTGACATGATCGACGGGCGTGAGCTGAGACCCAGGAAAGGCTTGATATCACATGAAACCTTGCTCACCCCTCGTGGTTACTCTTCCTATCTGCAGTCGCCCGAGACAGAGCTAACGTTCCCCCAGTCTCAGCGATATTACTCTGCATTCTTCTGAGCTGTGATCGCGCGGTCTCGACCCGATGGCCGAGCCTACTGCACTTACACGAACAAAAATATCTTCTCCACACGTCATGAGAGAAACGGTTGACGCTTTACCGCAAACGGTTGTAGTCTGTATGTCTTGCCTCAATCTTCATCATGACCAGCTGAGAAAGGGTGCATGGCAATAGTCGCATTCTTCTCGGGGAGCTAAGAAAGCCAATGTTGCCTACTACGAGCCCTAACAAACGTCAACGGAAGAAAGAATACCAGTCACATTTCCGTATTGTTGATCGAGACTGGTACACAAAGCTCTGTCTTGACGATCACCATGGAAGCTTCCTGAGGTTCCTATCGTTGTACTCTGAACAACTCATGTTGGGCATACAGACATGACAAAAGGACTCTTGTCCATCGAACCCAGTTCCTTGTCTGTGATGTGCAGTCGTGCATCATATGAGGGGCACTGTACTCGCCGCGCAACTTGCGAGTTACACTGGGTCGGGAGTCTGAGTATCAATCTCGGGGTTGATGAGATCTGGAGGGTTAGACCCTCCGTTTAGGTACTCATTCCTCCTCTAACCCGTTTCTTGTCAGACTCAGATTCACTCCCGTGTATTCTTGATTCTGGCACACCTCCCAAGGAGAGCTGATGCTACTCTCAGGGACTAAGGTACGGACGCCACTCAGGTCGGCCGTTCGATTCAAAGGTGTGCTTCGATGGAGATGGAGGGAATGGACGCCATCGACCGGTTAGCGACCCTAGGATTTATGGTTCCCTTTTTTTCTCTTCTTGATATAAAATCCCCGAAGACGCCATCAAGAAACTCTCTTTCGTTAGACCCAACAGCATCAATCTTCAGCATACCTCATCATCCTCTGGTATCCATTGACACTCTTGTATCCTTCGTCTCTTCTCATCCCTTCTCATCATTCGAGATATCAATCAAAACCAGCCAAGATGGTTCAATTCACTTCCCGGGTCGACACGGGCATGACAGGCTTGCCAACTGAGCAAGCTGCCACAGACCGCCGTGTAGGCAGTCCCATGGGAGATCGTGTCAGAAACGCCCTCGTCATCATCCTAGGAGAATTCGCTGGAACGTTCATGTTCTTGCTGCTCTCTTTCATCGGTGCCCAGACTGCCCTCGTCACCAACAGCTACTCCGACCCTAACGCCCCATTGTTGCCTTTCAGTTTGATGTACATTGCTGCCTCTTTCGGTACCGCTCTCGCCGTCAATGTTTGGATCTTCTATCGTGTCAGCGGTGGCATGTTTAACCCGGCTGTAAGTAACACCCGTGCCTGCTTCAACTCACATGCTCATTCTTCCTCCTTCTGCAGGTGACTCTTGGTTTGGTCCTCGTCGGTGCTGTGCCACCTCTTCATGCCGCCGCTATCATCCCTACACAGCTTGTCGCTGCCATGGCCGCTGCAGGCATTACAGACGCACTCATCCCCGGTCCGCTTCTCGTCACCAATGCTCTCGGCAACGGGACAAGCGTCGCTCAAGGTGTCTTCATCGAGATGTTCCTCACAGCACAGCTTGTCCTGACCGTCTATTTCCTCGCCGTCGAGAAGCACCGCAGCACTCATCTTGCCCCTATCGGCATCGGTATCTCAGTCTTCATTGCCCACATCTGTGCGACCAACTGGACGGGCACTTCTATCAACCCTGCTCGATCCTTCGGTCCTTCCGTCGTCGCTGGCTTCCACGGCTACGACTGGATCTACTATATCGGTCCCTTCATGGGCGCCCTCCTGGCTTTCGGCTGCTACAAGATCTTTAAGGTGCTCGAGTACCAGACCGCCAACCCAGGACAGGACGACGATGATCTCGAGAGAGCCGACCGCCATCACTTCTTCCACCACGGAAAGGAGCCCGTGTCGCACTCTCACACTGACACCATCGAACCCAAGGATCACGGTGTTCCTCAGCGAAATGACAGCGTCATTGATGGCCAGATGGCCCCAGTCTAGACCTTTCCTCAGGATCGGGACTGATCAGGCCACATGCTCCGCGCAAGCTGTATCTGTAAGACGGGAAGGAGCAGTGTAAGGATGCGAAGCGTCGTTACGTTCTCATGATAGTACAGCGGACTTTCAGCACAAGGCTGGATCGGTGTGTTGAACCATTGAATACTACATTGCATCAGTGTCTGTGACACGACAACGTTTTAACGGGGTTTCAGGACAAGAATTGGTTGGATAAGATAGGGACATGGAAGGGGGTATTGGAAAATACGAGGAGGAACGGGTATATGATTGAATGAAGTCTTTTATGCATAAGGTTCTGGAGTACCTACAGTTTCAATCAAGGCGATTAGTTTTGCTGGAAGTAATACCAACTTAGTTACCACGATCGTCCTGGAAGTCGTTCCATTCCTCATCGCCGTCTTTGGCCGTCAATCTCGTCGCTTCCTCCTCCCCGGGGCTCTTCAAGTTCCACACCCGTCTGAACGCCCCGAACCCAGTAACAACAACCCAAATAGGCAGTGCAGTATAGACTATCATGCCTACAACAACAAGGGCTGTTCCAACAACGTTGAGAAGAAGGTAGAGGAACTCAATACACTTGCTCAAAGTGCCGTGGCTAAACTGGTCCATGACAAACAAGAGACCCCACCACAAAGTACATATAAACCAAAGAATGCTGAAGATGGGAAGAATCATAGCCCAGTCGCGAGTCTCATAGAAGAACTTGTTGAATTTTCTGGTATGACGGTCCATACTAGGAAAGCGAGAGGCTGTGGTATAAAGGAGAAAAAGCCAGAATGATAGGGGTATAGGCAGAGCCAAAACCGTGGTCAAGACGGCGTAGAAAGGGTTCGGGATGCTGAGTTCTTCCCAGATGCAATAGGTTGCTGTCATGAAGCCCCATTGAATGCACCATATTGTGTAAACCGTAGTCGCCAAGATTGAAGCTGCCTTTGACGACATGATGATAAATGATTGGTGATAGTAAGAAGATAAAAGTACAATATGTAAGAACACGTCGACACGCTTGAGGATAATTGAAACGCTGAAGGATCAGCGTTGACCCCGCAATTCATTTCACTTCATGGATGATCCCTGTCGAAGATCATCTAAAACGGTAGGAAGTGGCGAAGAGGTCTGTAAGATATAATTCGTATTCCAGTGAGGAAAGATGATATGAACATAATACCACCGAATAGACGGATAGTTGCAGACTCATTATCGCGAACCATCCAACATGAAACACGACTTGAACTTCCAAGTCGTCGCATCATCAAGTCAAAGACCATCCATGTCTCGAGTCCTTGGCTCTCATGCTGTAGAACGCAGAAACCAAGATACAGGATATAAGCGTTTGACATACCGCATGCATGCATGCACGAACTTGTCCGATGTAAGTGAAATGGACGTCATATACGATGATTGGTGAAGATGAGCTGACATGGACGTTGTGCGAGGAAGAGGAGACATGCAACGGCGACAAGATACCTGAACGAGATAAGTACTGCATATCCCGGAACGATTAGACGTAAACAGATTCAACTAGAAGCCATCTTGGGCCGGATTGAATCCTCCTTGATATAGGAGTATGTTACCGCAAAGTGTTGCTCACGATTCTATGACATCCACTGCGCCGGGCATTGATGATCCTGAACCGCCGCGAAAGTGGATATGAACGGCTCCGCTCGCCCGAGGTTAATAATTGTACTCTGAGTCAAAGATTCTTGAATCAGAAAGATCATTTGAATGATATACCTATGGTTGTTCTTAGAAGCGGTCATAGAGTTGGTAAGCCAAGTACTTATCACTTATACCGCGATACAAGTTGAGCCTTATCAGATGCCGCTGGCGGCTCTTCTCACCTCGGTACCAGGACGGTTTAGCCGTGCGGAGCGGAGCCCCGATTCCGGCATTGCCTCGCTTGAAGGGTTGGTCAGTTAAAGAAGAAGGGACTTCGGTACTTGGGTGTTTTTGAATTATTTGGATGGAGAATGAAGAAATAAAATAAGAATGTTGTAGCCAAGCCAAATTGATGATTGCAATCAATCGTCATAAGGGTACATCGTAGAGGGAAGGAACATGGGTGTCAGTGTCAAGCCTGGAATTACAGGGAGGTACTCTGTAGCCTCCTGTAAATGGCTGTGCTGTATTTTCCATCTCAAAGAGCACATGACCCACGTGATCATCTTTACCTGTAGTTGGTCTTGGTCTTGGTCTTGAGGCCTCTGGACTAATATCAATCTTGGCTTCTTCATTTCAGATACTATTAATCGTCAATTGGCGTTGCCATTTATACGTCAATACAATCTCTTATACAGCAGAACGCACCCCGCTAGGGATATCCGTTGCTTTGCGCCGGCCTAACGCAACGTCGGTTCCGTGTACTGGACCTGGCCTGGGCCTGAACCGGACTGGGCTCTGACTCTGTCTTCCAACTGGATAGTCACAAGACGGAGATTTATTCTACTTTGCTCAGCCTGTAAATTGAGTCTTGCTTCATTTTCTACCCCTAAAAAGGTGTCTCTCGTTATCCCTCGGTCATCTTCAACTTCATCATCGGACAGATCCGGTACAAGTCTACCTTTTTAGGTGGGGTTTCAATGTTTAACGCGGGGCTCCGCTGCCTTTCACGACTCTTAACCGACTAATCGATCATTTATTTACTCTGGGAGCGGAAAACTCACGAGACGCTGTGGAACAACATGTCGTCCGTCAAAGCCACAAAGAAGAGCGCCTTCTCATGTGAGCCATGTCGTAGGCGCAAGGTCAATACACATACAAACACTTTCTCTACCAACACTGACACTCTTCCAGGTCAAGTGCGGCGGCGAGCAACCTATTTGCAATCGCTGTGCTGCTAGGAGCGATGACTGTATTTACAAACTGTGGGACTAACCCTTCGGCCCTTTGGTCGTGTGCTCCTCTGTACTTTCTGAGCAATTGCTCACGTGTCATAGAAACCCGACTCTGTCTTACACTCAGCGACTTGAGGAACGCATCAAAGAACTCGAGGATCAACTTGCTGCCATCAAATCCCCTCCCTCTGTCGCAGCTTCAAATCATTCAAGTCCGGGCGTCTGGAACGGCCATGACTTGAATCGCCATGCGGATGAACATGCTATGACGAGGAGCTTCATGGGTCTCAAGATTGATGACAAGGGTGGAATTACTTATCATGGACCGACTAGTCTGTTCAACCTTCCCAGCGATCCTCACAAGCATAAGCCGGATTCAATATCTTCTATTGACTCGGATGCTCATAGAAGGGAACGCCTAGTCAACAACGCATGGCACCAGCGTGCTATGGAGAATCTGTCCGATATCCCAGTAAGCTCACTGACCTCGACTATCTGGTATTCTCAACTTACACCGCACAGGAACCCTTTCAGTATCTCCTAAATGTGCATTGGTGTTGGATTCAACCTCTATTCAATTTTATATATAGGCCGGCTTTCACTCGTATGTCTTTCACCCTGAACTCTGGCGCCTTCTAACATTGACAGGCGATATGCAATCGATGGGACCTTATTACTCTCATACACTTCTTAATGCTATGCTTTCGCATTCTATCCGCTGGGGAAAAAGTGACCCCTCCACGAAACAATTGTTGGATCAATCTTACGACGGCGGCGCGGTCTTCGCTAAACATGCTAGAAGCATGCTTTTCGAGGAGCTGAGTAAAGGTGTTTGCACCATCCCAACAGTCCAGACGTTACTACTTCTCAGTGCGGGCGAGTGTGGCCACGGAAATACCACACAAGCCTGGATTTACAGTGGCATAGCTTTCCGGCTAATCGACCATCTTGGAATATGCGTGGATGGACAAAGATATCCTGGGTCTGTCCATTTGACCGACGAAGAGGTTGAGATTAGACATCGACTGTACTGGAGTTGTTATTTCTGGGACAAGATCATTAGCTTGTATCTTGGTCGTTCTCCTTCCCTGCAACACACTCTTGTATCACCGCCGCAAATAATCAGTAGGTCTGCATTTATTTACATTGAGACCCTTGCTAACGATGATTAGTGGATGACTCTGCCGAGAACGAACTTTGGGTTCCCTTCGATTCCCCTCATGGTTCAGACTGGAAATACCCTCCGGCGACGGCTCACTCTACTTCTTGTTTCATGAGCGCATGCAGGCTATCCGTTATATTCAACGAGATTCTCATTCATATGTATGACCCGTTATTGGAGAACACAGAAGCGGAGATGCAAGAGTGTTTGCAAACTCAAGACCCTGCCATGAAGCTGTGGTGGGAACAACTCCCGCCGTACCTGAAGATCGAGCTCAATGCTATGCCGGATTTAGCACCACCATCGCATATCGTTACTATGAAGTAAGCACCCTTTCTTTCCATTCTATCCATTCGCTAACCATGTGTAGCGCCCTGTATCATACTTTCAGAATCCTCCTGTTCAGACCTATGCTTTCTTGGCAAGTATACCCAGAGGAAGATGGCCCGCATCCTATGCAGAATCATCTTGTGGAATGTGTTACATCCGCGACAGCTATCATTGCCATCTTCGACCTCTTCTGTAGAACTTTCACCATCAGCCACTGTGTCCTGTCACTCTCTTACAGTGTTTATATCGCTGCAACTATCTTTCTTCTTCAAGTGCAGGCCACTCCTGAAGATCAGCAAGCAGTTCGCAAATTGAACTTCTGCGTGCGTGCTTTGCAACAAGCTAAGACTGTTAATCCAGGTAAGTACTCCAATACTATAGCTGTTATAACTCTGACGTCTTTGTAGTGATTTCGAGTGCTCTGGATCTGATCACAAGAGAAATGACCAACCTTGGTCTTACAGCAGGCCTCAATACTCCGCAACAACAGCCTCAACCTGTACCGCAGCAGATGCCGGATATTTCGATGCCTACCGATATACCGATTACCGAAACTATTTATCCGCCCACTTTTGACATCCCTGCGCAACAGTCGCCTTATGAGCCCGAACAGCTGTTCCAGACACCCTGGGCCGACAACATGAACCCGGATGCTATGGCAGTCGACCGTGGAGTCTTTGAAGCATTGTCAACATTTGAGCCACTGAGTGTGAGGGTAGGCGCAATCTATGAATCGGGCAACAATCCTCAGAACTTCGGCTAGTAAATGGGATTTCGTGGCTGGCATATCGAAATCCTATCGGTCGGTGTTCTGTGATGCTGGTATGGGCTGAGATCGTTTGGCCTGGAATGCCCCAACTTACTCAGATTGAGCTCACTATTTCCTCGAGCGCCAAACGCTTGCATTGCTCTAACGTATCAACCGGCCCGCTGTCCCTTTAAGATACACATGGAGAGGCAACGCATTGCGGCCATCTGAGCCCCCGTGGGCAGTTACAAAGGACTCTGCTACTGTCCCGTTGTATGAATGGCGTAGGTCAAGAAATCTATGTCTTGAATCCCCCGTGGTTCAGGAGGCGTACTATGACCATGATCGGGTTCCAGGATACTGAGTGTTCGATACAAATCGCAATGTCGTCGAATTCGTGCCATATGCTGGAACTTCCATCTCACTTTGATGGTATGAGAACAGATGACTGTAGCACGATTAATCTATTTATGGACTGTATCTACTGGGACAGGCCTTCAGTAGCATTACTTGAAGGGGTTTGAATTGCATTTAATTATTGGATAAAAGCATTTGGAATTAACATACCATTCTGGAATGAATTCTAATACCTAAGCCAAGTTAACATACACATCTGTTCTTGACATATATCAAGCCAAATAATAAAAATCATGCCCTTGGCAACCGCTTAACATCCCACAAATCTTCTGCGTTTCCTCTGAATAACCTTTCCTTGAGCTGTTCGTCACCACACCAACTGACTACCTTCTCCATCCAAGGCTTAATATCGAGACCTTCGAACCGAGTATGAGGCCAATCGGTCGCAAAAACAACATGACTCTTGCCAGCGATACGAACGACCTCCTTGGCAAGAGGATCCAAGTCGCTATAATCAGCTTGAGCAGCTATGCGATAAGGGGCCGATAACTTGACATAGGTAAGACCATCTTTGAGCAGACGAGCTAAAGATGGGAAGCCTGGCAATTCATACATGTCAACACCCTGGTTTTCTTTCAGAGGCGGTTGTCCCAAATGGTCGATGCAGAACTTGACGTTGAGTTTTGGGATGATGGGCTCGAGAAACTCAATCATCTTCATGGGAACGTAAACTTGAACGACCCATCCCAATGGTCTCACAGCATCGGCATACTGTGTCAATTGCTTCTCCAATTCGGTGGCATTCAGCTCTGCGCCAACGGACTGCAGGTTGAGTCTCACTCCACGTACGCCCAACTCATGCCACTTGCGGAGCTCATCAGCGTCATAAGCTTCAGGGTCAATCGCAACAACACCCCTTCCACGCTCAGAGCCAAGATCACGCAGGCCGTCAAGTAAGCAAGAGTTGTTTAAACCATAAATAGACGGCTGAACAAGAACAATGTTCTGAAGACCAACACTGGCTTCAAAGTCGAGAGCTTGTTCAAGGGAGTGAGAGGTTGGACGGTATGTTGCTGAGGGATCGAGTTCATAGTTCTCAACGTCAACAATATGCATATGTGAATCCCATGAATCGGGAGGAATAAGCTGTGCGAGTTCTGGAGGTGCCATTGTGTTGTTGTCGCGGGGAGATAGAGAAGGATGAGCAATACTCCAGGTTGGGAAGGCAGTCAATATAAGTAACCCAGTGACTGCTGTACGGAAGTGAGACATGCTCGGCGTCGACCGAGGTCGGCCGAATCGGTGGGGGAATAAGGTCCGCATTGTATGAGTGACGGCCACTTTCCGGGACTTTCTCCGGGAGATTCAATGAAGTCGCAAATTCTATTCTTTGCTACGTTACCATGTTGGCCGTCCTTTTATATTCCAGTGCTATTGATCTACATTTATCGAACTTGCTGGGGTTATGACTCTGGTGAAGCTACGATGTAACTGCCGCGATCCTTGTTGTCCATCTCGGAGGATTTTTTGCAGCCGATGCAAATGCGGTGAGGTGATGCAGCAGGCATACATATGGATGGAAGCGAGTAATGTCAATTGACTTTGGTTTTTGGATCGGGCCATGTTGAAGATACCGTACTGGTATGTAGGTATGTACTAGGTATACGCGTATAATGCGTTTCTCAATGGCGTATTGGAGTTGATAGAACATGTTCAAGAGAAAATAGATAACCCGCTTACTTGGTCAATTCTCCTTCCTTACTTTCACTAGCCAGGATATATTTGATTAAATGGTTGAATAATCAACACAGCCCCAAGCGTATTGATTCCATTCATCCAATGTCATCATGTACCTGCGCAGCCTAGATGCGTATTTGATCTAACAAAACACAGCCATAATTGACTTATGCCGCTTGTTAATAAAACCGCGGGGCAAAAGACCCTTAAAGACACCCGAAACGCCACGCCACCTTCCCAAAAGAGGAAATATAGCTCTCCTAATCCAATCGTCATCTGCGGCTTCGGTGACGTCCAGTCCAGTCCAGAATTCACCCCCGCCACAACCTTCCACCCTTTCCCCGTCCACTAACGTCCCCATTCTCTGGAGAGACGATTTGTCATTCATTGACCGCAAAAAAAGTTCAAATACAATCGAAGGTCCACTGTCAAGATAGCTTCATTCATCTTGCGACTGAAACTACACAAAATTACTACCCCGCGCAAAAATGGCTTTCAACCTTCCTCCCTTCCTGGCGCGTCTCGCCCGCCCCTTCACGCAATCTACTCGTCTCTCCATCGCTCCCGATCAATCCGCCGCTTCAGTCATTCCCGAGGGCGCCCAGCGCTGCACCGTCGCTGCGGGCTGCTTCTGGGGTACTGAGCACCTCTACCGCAGACACTTTGCCGACAAGGGTCTTATCGACGCAAAGGTTGGCTACATCGGTGGTGATCTCGAGAACCCTAGCTACCGCGCCGTTTGCGGCGGCAAGACTGGCCGTACGTTCTAAACTCCCAGAGTATGTTAGAGTTACTAACAGCGACACAGATGCTGAAGCCGCGCAAATCATCTTTGACCCGACAAAGGTTACGTACGCACAGCTCCTCGAGTTCTTCTACAAGACGCACGACCCCACGACGCTGAACCAGCAGGGTCCCGATACCGGCCCTCAGTACCGCTCTGCGATTTACTTCCATAACCCTGAGCAGGAGAAGATTGCGCGCGAGGTTACGGAAAAGGCCAACAAGCAGTGGTGGAAGGGCGGCATCGTGACTGAGATTGCGCCTGCTGGAAAGTGGTGGACTGCTGAGGAATACCACCAGCTTTACCTACACAACAACCCCGCTGGCTATGAGTGCCCTAGCCACTTCTTGAGACCATTCCCTCCTCTGGAGTAAGTCGCGATGAGTTAGGAAGATTGGTGGAGGATAGGTGAAAGGATGGGAGGTCACAATGATATCAATGGGAGTGGAAAACATATGTAAAATGACATATGAATGCTAGAATTAACTTGTATGCGAGAATCTTCACTTTTATTCAACATAGAAAATTTGATCAGTTTTTTTGTATTGGGGTTTCCTAATTATATGGAACTTCTTCAAAGCCCACAAGCCAATTCGATCAAAACCAGAAGAGAGGAGTTCATTAACCTCTAACAACAAACAAATAATCCTTTTTGCTTGATAAAATAATACAAGTTGCTTTCTAGAGCTAGTTTATGGGAAAGGCAAACAATCTCGCTTACTTGCGGCGGTTCTGCTGCATCATGAGAATCTGCACCATGCGGATGAAGATGTTGAGGAAGTCGAGCTCAAGAGAGATAGACTCGTTGACGGGGTCACGGCGGATGACACCAGCCTGAGCGAGACGGGCGTGGTGAAGGACCTTCTGAACGTCGTACAGAGTGAAACCACCGAAGACAGCGAGACCACCGTACAACCAGAGGCTCTCGGTGAAGGCGAGAGTTCGGACAGCGGTGGCGGGGATAACGAGAGGAGCGAGACCAGAGGCAGCGACAATGGCGGCACCAGCCAGGAGAGGACCACCAATGTAGAGGTACTTCTCCTGCTTAGCAGTGGCACCGACAACAGCGAGACCACCCATCATGGCAATGGTGTAGAGACCGGCACGGCCGAGAAGAGCGGGAGGGCAGAAGGCGAGGAGAGGGGCGACGAAAGCAGCCTGGGTGGCGTTGAAAGCGGTCCAGAGAGCGTACTTGGGGACGTAGCTAAAAAGTTGTTAGTAAAATTGCTTCAATTTCGTCATTGATTCTGGTTTCGGAATACTTACTTGTCAGGGCTGATAGATCGAGTTCCAATCATGGTAGCGAAGCTGAGAGCGAGACCACCAATACCAACAACCCAAGGGTTGGTAACCATAATTCGGTAAACGAAGCCAGTCTGAACCATTTGTCGAGCCGTCAATCCAATGATACCAATTCCGAGACCAGTGTGCAAGAAAGTGTTGTTCAAGTATTCGCGCTCGTAGATGGGCATGCCGCCATCCTCACGAGTCTCCCGGTTGAAGACAGCATTGATGGCGACAAGGGTACCACCAAAGATGGCACCTCCAACCAAAAGTCGTCGGCTGGCAGACTGAGGCGTTGTTACGACGGGAGCTTGCTGGTTGTAAGAACGACGACCTGTTCGCTGAAAGGCATTGCGGGTGGCGGGAGTGATGCGCGAAGAGAAGAAGTTGGCTGAAGGCTTAGCCTGGACGTGGAAGCTTCGGTTGTTGCGGAAAGCAGTCTTTGAGAGCTCAGGAAGCCTCTGCGCAAGACGCGCAGGGCCCTGGCGGACGGTGAGGGTGAATGACATCGTCGTTCGTGCAGTTGTCGATCGATAATGCAGGCGTTTTACAAAGGAAAATGGTGAAGCGGGGACGGGCGGACGCAGAGGATATAAGTTCCCGGCCAAAAGAAGCATGACGTTGGGTCGGCCAGTGGAGCTTACCAAATTCCGATATCACGTGGCTGGCGGTGGAATATTGTGGAAAGAACCGGCGCCTCACAGTGACTCAATCGAAGTGCTGGATTTGGTCAGCGCTCGGCCGCTAAGCCTCTAAACTCCATGATCCGTCGGATTTACAGGAACAGAAGAACTACGACATACTACAGAAATAGTTACATCACGAAGTAACCCAGTACGAAATTCTAGTGTGTTCCGTCATCAAATTGTCTTGTTGAGTATTATTAGACAGGTAGGCTGGCTTAGTAGTGGTAGATTGTCGGTTCCATCAGGGTATCAACCAAGTAACATATCCTTCCATCCAATTCGCATCGCCTCATCTTATAAATCCCATCAATTCTCCTTCTGCATATCTCAGTATGAAACTCAAACGTAATGATAAATGCTCCATGACTCTGACGCCAATGCTGTAATCAACATATCCTATCCCTATGCACCCCTCAAGCAGCTATCATTTCCATAATCATGCTATCCAATACGCCTTTCTTCCTTCATCTTAAACTTCCACGTCCTTTTTCAATGACGAAACTCACAGGTCGTCTTGCTCTCTTGGACCTGTAACCGAAGGCAGACCGTGGCATAAAGTTCTGCGAAGTGAGCATAGCGACACTCATGGCTTTTGGTGCCGGAGCATCGTCTTCGCCCTCTCCTGACGCAGAAATTTCACCGGATTCTGCAGGACGTTGGCCAATTCGAGCATCAAAGCCCCAGTTCGCCACACCACCAGCTCGAATCCAAGACTCGAGGTTGCGGCATTGACTAACATCCATCCAATTGAGTCTTCCACACCCATTCAAAACATTCTCAACGCCTCGCCCTGTAACACGTACGCAGCCACGCACACTCAGAGCCTCCAGGTCGTTCAAGTGAAGCGCCACGCTCTCCAAGCTACCGTCACTGACTGCACTTCCGCAGAATGCCAATCGCAATTCCTTTAGTTTGGGTAGTCGAAGAGCGACGACCTCTGTTGCAGTGTCGGAAAGCGCGCAGCAGAATGATAGATCCAGGTGGGTGAGGTTCTTGGCTGAATTCACCAGAGCAACGACGGCATTGTCAGATAGATATGTACAGTCTGCCAAGCACAGCCGTTGAAGTTTCTCGAATCGGAAAGGAGCCCATGATTGGAACCCTGCGTCCGTAATTGATGTACAGCGTGTAAGAGATAACGACTCGATACGGTTCGAGGCATGTGCTGCAAGATGAGCCATAGATCGATCCGTAATGTGCTTGCAGTAGGACAGATTAAGGCGTTTCAGCTTCGGGCATCCTACCACAGTTCCGGGTGGCAGTACGTTTTGTGGTGCAGGCTTCTGTTGCTGCTGCTTGGTTCGCGAACGAGCAGTTGAGCTGGAAATAACAACTGACTTGTTAGGTGGCGGATCAGGCACAACCCAGCCAACAACACGGCCTAATAGGTTGTCACCAACCTTACGGCAGTTGCTCCAATCGACCTCTTCCAACCCCTTGGCGTTCTCGCTCATCTCCAAAATCTGATTAGCGGAGACGTCCCAAACAGACTTCATCTTCCATTTCTGAACGTTTTTGCCGCAGTTGCGCCATAGAGCCCCGAATCCTTCGTCGGTTATGTGGAAGCAATTGCTTATGTCAATGCAAAGAGCGCGAGTGCCAATGAACGGAGCGAGCACTTTGAGTATAACTTCATCAGAAACCTTGCGGTTGTAAATCGAGAGATCCACGTCCTGGCAGACTTTGGGCGACGTCGTTAGAAGCTTACGCCAATGTGTACTGACAAGGCGCAGCCGGAAGATTTCTCCTATGTCCATGTGCTTGAAAATGTAGATTAATATTTCATCTGATAATACCGGCTTGCTCATGGTGACGGGCCTTGTAGGCAGAGTAGTTCGAACTCGCTTGGCCGGAACGTCGTCGTCAGATGGCGTCTCGGAGAATGCAAACTTGATAGGCGTAACCTCCGACAAACGAGATCTTGCACCATTGGTAATGGAAGTGGATGTGTCTGTAGGAGGCACAGGGGGCGCTAAAGAATGGCGTCTTCGATTTCTGATGTTCTCCATATTGACACTCAGGAATGGGTCAGGATCCTTAGGTGCTATGTTCCCAGTGTCATCTTTCGAAGGAGATCCTGGCTTAGAAGGTGTCGTGAATGTGAGGTTGGGGAGTGATGCTCTTGTTGGCGTCGTAGGGGTTGTTGGATCAGATTTGTTGGCTTTTTCCCGGCCATCGGCATCAACCATGTCAACATCGTCACTCTGTTTGTGGTATCTCGACTGCGCCGTTTCCTTGACCTGATTCAAGATATCTGAAGGGCAGCGCCTCCAGAACTCGTCAAGAACGTCTCCAGTGATCATGATGCACTCGACGGAGGTGATGGACCGCACAGTAGCTGTTCGGCCACGAGACAGCCCCAAGCTTGCAACCTCACCAAAGTATTGGCCTGCCTTTAACCGCGGTCGCTTCGGAATAGCTAGAGCCTTGTTCTGAACATTACTGTCGTAAACTGGTTCATCGTGAATCACCTCGGCTTCTCCGCGGACGATGAAGAAGATTTCGTTGCCCGGCAAACCTTGACGAACAATATCTGTGAAAGGTGTGTAGGTTTTGGGCTGAACACTGAGTCCGAGGAAATGAAGCATATCTGGAGGAAGGGTAGAAAAGAGCGGTAGCTCCTTGAGTGTCGTTCGAATGTTAATCTGACCACTTCCAATGGCGCTACCAGCTGTTGGGTCCTCCATAATACCCGGGCTTGGAGATTTCCTCTTCTTGTTGTTGACCACGGTACCATCTTTGATTATACCCCTTTCTCCAGTGGAAACCTCGCCAGGCACTGCCTCCCGAGCGCTGAAATCCCCTTGAGGTGACTTGGTCAATCTGCCGCCCTCTTGTCGTTTCTTCTTTAGAAGGTTTAGGCGCTCTTGTGCTTCTTCTCGAATGGCTTTCTCCATATCCGGGAATTTGGGTATCACTGCATGTAGGTCCTCTTTCTTCAAAACCAGCAGGAGACATTTCGTGCGTGCAACAATAGTAGCTGTGCGTGGCATCTGCATCAAGACACCTATCTCACCAAAGAACGAACCGGGGTTAAGCTCAGCATAGACCGCTTCCCCGTCCCGCGAGGTCACAGCAACAACACCTCGCACCAACCAGTACATTGCCTTGGCCTCATCTCCTTCAGTCACGATATGATCGTTGGGACTCTGAATCTGAGGCTTCAAGTGGTTTCCAATGGCGACCAAAAACTCCTCAGGAGCGGACATGAAAAGAGGAAACGATCTGATTCGGTCAACCAAGTCTAATGGCATATCTCGAATGAGCGATGCTGTGAGCGGCGAGGGCCGCACTGGCCGCGTAGGGTTTGTCTCGACATTGAAAGATCGAATCAAGGAAACAGAGTCGGACGAAGCTGCCGCTGCCGCAGCATTCTGGTGATGAGCCAGCGCCCTATACGGCGATCCGGAGCTTCGACCCCGCCTCATTGTTGCAGGCATAATAAAGAATGTAGCCAGAAGTCAGCGCAATTGTAGCGACGATGACTACTATCCTCCGTCCAGCAAGCTCGCAAGCCGCTGCTGCAGCCGCCGGGGATAATTCCTTATCGTTCGTTTACTGTTGAATGTGAATGTAGTTGAAAAGTTATGAATCGCAAATATTGACTGGAGCTTTGGCGGTCGAGCAAGACACGGTCATGCTCTGGTGTGACGTCTCGTGGGCGGTCGTTGATGGAAACAGAGTAATCAAATTTGTACAATCGTTTTACCGACTCAAGATGCAAGATTTGAGGCACGAGAGGTTTGTATAGTCGTCCAGGGTCGATACGTAGGTTCCGCAAGAGGCGGAAGATGCAAATCCTATAGTCACAAGCTCAATGGCGAGCTGACAAGTCACACAGAGATCCAGGGCGGCGGTTTCGAATCTTCCGTAACACGAGAGCAAGGAGCGAGCTGTTGCAGGTGCGAGTGTAGAAAGTTGAGCGTCAAGGATGATCGCGTGGATGTGGGCTTTGAAAGCTGTGAGCGATGACGGCAACGCGGACAAAGGCTGAAGTCTGATGTAGAGACCTACCAAAGCTTGAACGTGCCAAGAAACGAAGTGTATCTGAAAGTCTCTAGCAGAGGGTTGTAAAGAAGAAAGCAAGTGGGGAGCTGTCAAGAAACAACAGGGAAGCTATTGCGAGGGTGGCAATTGGCACAATGCACAGCTCGAAGAGGAAATCGGTTGAAGGAGGTCAAGAACCATGAAGATAGAGCAGTCCGCATGGGAAAAGATGGATTCCAGTCCCTGAGCCCAAGCAGCGTAGTCTGGCCGCCACAGGAATAACGCCCACCCACAGCACTGAGGGCCCCTCAGCATTGGATCTCACACGGTCTCACACGCCCACCGCCCACTCACACGCTTAAGGCGAGCTCTGTGTGGGGTATTGATTCTAGGTGGACGGGCGGGCAGTGCCGTCACACACGGTGAAGAGCGTGTAAGAAACGGGCAAAGTCGCAAGGGGCCCTGGAGAAGGACGCATTGGGTGGAGTATTTGAGCAAGCCAAAGCAAGCAAGCATCGGCAATGCAAGCAATTCGACGGGATTTGGACGACCGGAGAAAGTGCCAACTGGCTGCCGAAAAACACCATGATCGGATTCTGAGATAATGACGGGTTGCTGATGAACCAAAATGCGATGCCCGCGTGGTGGTGCCGGTACCTTGGCACATGCGCATGTAGCTTGGAGGGCTTCAGCACCTAAGTTTAGTGGCGTGCTGGTTGCCACGCAGAGCATAAGAAAGTGAAACAGAAGTGCTACTGGCGGCTGGGTCAGTGCGTGCGGACTTGTATTGACGCTTTGGTGCTTCTGCGGATGCTTCGATAAAGCTTCAGTGGAAGGATGTGCTGTTCGTCATGGAATCAATCACTGTAGCTTAACCCTTTCAAGGACCCTGGCTCTGGCAACGTCCTTCTCATCCTCACTAGCGGACGGCACCAAGCGCAGATGACCGAGCGCGCACGGGGCGCCCAATGGTTCTTTGCGTCGGTCTCTGGCAGGGGTAGAAACAATCTGACCCTAAGAGGTCTGATGTTACGGAAGCGACCCGATAGCTTCTCCGCCGTCGTAATCCCATTCACCACGGAGCTCCAGCTGAACACACATTGTTGGGTGAAAAGGACCATGTAATTAAAAACGTGAATTCAATCGCCAGTGGCTGACGGTGAGCCGTGTATCTTTAGGGTTAGTAGCGGTCGCCGTCTGCCGTCATCATTTTCCTCCCCCTCCGCTACGTCGATCCTGATCTTCGGATCCGTGCAGCCAGCCTCCAGCCTACCGGGAAAGGGGTCATCGGTCAGAAGACCTCTTTTCATTCTTTTTGTCGCAGGATATCCGTTTGGATATGCTTTGCTTCGGCAAACTGCTATTAGGCATGGCCGTTGGAGAAGCTCTAGAGAGTTTCGATAAACGTTGTAGCACTGTTTTGTTTCTTCTTGCTTTGTCCCATGAGAGGCGGATAGGTGAGTTTTGTTTGCATTTTGCGAAGTTACCGCAGGAGGCAGAGGTACCTGCGCAGGTACCTAGGCGAAGTACCGTTCTGGAGGTAAAGTTAGCTCGCGCCTCTAGCGGTAGCTGTGGCTGGAAATAAGTTCATCGGCGGATAGATTGCAGCATTGTTCGCGTTTATGCCAATGCAAATGCTAATATCAGATGAGGCATGTTGTCGGAGGGATCCTGGTCTTGGATGCTTTGGATAAATAGAATGTTCGGCGGAATCCTTTCTGTGAAACGTTTCGTCATATTGTTTCATCTGGGCGGGTTTATCGCAGTTGCATGCACCTTCCTAAGTTAAATCACCTACGCCCTGGGTTGGCAAGGAAGGTACAGCCAGCCCACGCGCAAATATGCAGGTGCTTTCTTTTCAATTGCCCGCGGTGTGAGAAAACTGCAGCCCTGTCAGACATTCAGATTGCGTCAATTGTTTTATCAAAAATGACCGTCATAATGGCGCAAACAACCAATTTTCTTTTTTCAGGGTGAGACAGAATGGATGCCTGCCCTGTACTGTACCTTTTCTAGCTTCTCAACTCTGATTTTTCTAGAAGGTCGCACTGAGCAAGGGCCAGCGGTCAAGCAACGCCATGACCATCTAGCCCTGGTCATAGAAACTCGCTAGAAGAAGAAGAAGGCACGACAGATTGGATTGCTTCCTAAAACGGCTTGCTGTCTCCTCCTAGGTCCTTTCATGTGCATCTTCAGGTCACCACAATCAATGTACGAATCCCAAATCAGTTCTCCGTACAGTATATTACAGTACAAGCGAGTTCCCGAATCGACTGGTCATGTTTATGACGTTCCATTTCCAGGGACTGATAGCCATTCAATAGCCACGCCCAGCATTCACGAATCGTACCTTGCATCTATAGTCTCTAAAATGGTCCAATCTCTGCCAACAGTTGGGTCGCGTCTGTCTAAGATCACGATGGTATTTGCGGTGTGTTTTTTTTTTTGAGAAATGGGTAAGCCATTCGTAACAATATAGTTAGGTTAGACTGTCTCAGCTGTGATAGACGAGATCCATAATGATCGTAGTAGCTGAAGCACTGACTCGGACGCTGTGTTCTACTACGCGCCATGCCAGCCATTTCCGACTTGACCCCGTACGCGATCACTTATTGTAATAGTTGTCTTAAACTTTTATCCGTTTCGGTCAACTACACTTTGATAAACTCAAAATAAGGTCGATATATTCAGAGGTTTGATGGTTTTGGGGTTTGAACACTCGGCGAGACTCGTACAAGAGCCGGGGTAGATCTTCAATATCGCAATTAATGACAACCTCCAGTAAGGTCAATTTTTAATATGCCTGGTATACAGGTTACATTCGCTACTTAACGCTAATGCAATAATAAATACATCTTTACCATACCATTGCTAAACGATTCCTCCTTTAACCTTCAACTGACCCAACGCAACAAGCCAACAGTAGTTAGTTGTTGACCAGGTTCCCTAACCTTTGCGGCACTGTCATAATATGCCCTTTAATCATGATGCCGGTCGCAAAAAGAGGCCCAACTTATAGTTCTCGGTACTTCCAAACCATGATCGACTTGTGTACGAACTATAGATCGTACTCTGCTCTTACTTCCATGAGAGCTCCCCAACAATTCCAAACGTATCTAATGGATCCTTGCACCAGTGAGCAGTCCCAATCTCCGGGTTGTGCATGGTTATGTATACCACCTGCCGCTGTGCATTCGACCTTATTATTGCTGTAAAAGTCGGACTGTCTTTCCAAAAAACTGCGACTAGAACAGCACAGGCTCACAGGGTTATGATACGTGATGAAAGAGTCGATGCCGAGTCGGCATGGTCCCACGGCTCTCTGGGCGCCATTCTTATACTATAGGACGATGCCCTTACACGACCCAGTGTGTGAAGAGAACACATCGACGCGTACTGCACCATCTAGCGGCACATGTGCCTTGATGGCGTATCTGAGATTACGGTGACCAGTGAAATCGCTCAACGCGGGCATTGGGTTTCCATATCGAACAGTCGGATCAGGTTCACCCACTGCCCCGTATGTAACGTACCTAAGGGCGTTCGGTTCGGTATACACGAGAAGATGAGGAGTTAACTCAAACACGTGGCTCATCGTGAGACTATCATCTGAAGGCCCGAGTATAATGTCGTCAAGAAGCTCGGTTCGGATCTATCACCATCAGCCAATGTCTGCGATTCAAGTTTGCGTGACTTACCATCACAGTAGGCTTGGAGCTTATAGACCAGCGAGCAGAATCTTCATAGTATGGTTCTTCATATTGTCGTATACCGAATTCACGGATTGGATCGCTAGGGGATATGGGTACATATGCCCAGACCAGGTTCGTATAGCCGGTTTTAGAGAGGCGTCGATATGTTTCAAGTGCTGTTGGCGATTTGGCTGTATGTGAATGGATCCGGAGGAGTGAGTGGTGATAATAGAAAAACGTGAGGCCGGTAGTGTTGCGCAAGTCGACGATACGGAATCTTGGATCCAAACAGCCTGACGTTCTGGGCGACAACGATAGTCCCTTGAATGGCGGCGTTGGGGTATCCCATATTTGCGGAAAGTCAGGCCCATCTGAATCGAAGGACAGACGCGCTATGTCAAGCTATAGAACCGTTAGAGATACTAATAATCGTTGAAGAGGAGTAATGATGCATACCTTGAATTGGAAACGGCACTGCTTTGCTTGACTCGGGTCGATGAAGACATAAGCACGAGTTTCGGATCGCCCGTACTCATACTGTGGCCTTTCAGAGAGGCTCTCGATTTTGCGAATACCATGACGGTCTATTGTGAGTTTGGTGATCTTGAACTCAGAAGCACTATCCGTCTTCGCAGGCGGCTGCCCACGTTCCCATGTTTCGATCTCGTCTAGCTTGTGAACTTGGCAATGCCTACTGCGATCTTGTTTAGCAGCCATTGATAAAGTCTTTGAGAGCATATTGATAGCTGAGTAGTTCCAGAGCTTACTACTCAAGCTTCTTTCTCTGATTTCCTGAAGGATTTCTGGAGGCAACAAAGCCAGCTTCGGCATCCCCAGCGTAGTCGCTACTGAGGTACTAATCAACGGTAGATCATGATCTTCGAAGTCTATTTTATGCACAGCGATCGCACGTGGACGCCACGGGTATCTCCATGCTGACGAAGTCCAAAGGCTTTGTAGGGCGTTGGGTTGACCGTGGTCCTGTATGAACAGGCGATAGCAGTCCGCATGAAATGCCACGGTTTCGTTCATGCTGGCGTATCCCTTTTTACATCGGAGCCCAAGCCACCGTTTTGGATACCGACTCGTTAAGAGATCCCAATATCGGTATACTTTGGAGTAATAAGTAGGAAGAGTAGAGTCGTCGTTACCAAGCACTGTGATGGGTAGTTAGCAAGATCGGGGCCCCAAAAATACTTCTCTCGTAGTTTACGCCTAAGTCTCAAGTTCCTTGATCCATTGCAGGAAAGGGGGAGATGGGTTGTTTTGCATACTTGCGATAGTCTTGTCATCCAAGTGCATGGCTTCCAAACAAAGAGCACACTCTTGAGGGAGATATAAGACTTCATCGTCTTCATCCCTTTCGTCAACTGTTGCAGGAGGGCTTGGAGGACGGCCGATCGGGACCCAAGTGATGGATGTATCGCACAGACCGGGAGACATGATGATGGACTTGATGGCAGTGATAACCTGACCCATGATGAACTTGATAACAGCGATAACCTGACCCATACTGGAAGATTGTTGTTAGAAGATGGAATACCAAGTAGGTAGGCAAGGCAGGAGAAGTTGGGGTTTTGTGACATAGAAGAATCATTCTCTAAAGAAGCCTAAGTGCTGGTCTAAGCCAGCATAGGATGACCAATCATTCGTCTTTTATGCTCCCAGCGGCCGGTTTGCTGTTCACCTCACGGTATGGGAAGAGCGACCATGTGAAGTTCACCCAATGTAATTTGTGGAACAACGAGAAGGAACTTGCAGGCTATTGTACCGTACTTGCGTCCGATCAACAAATTATAGGCAAACACAGTCCTCAAAAGAAACCAGACTTAGCTAGGTAGGCAATCTTAATCAAAGTTATCATAGTAGGGGTAGTCATCGGAGTGATAGTCATCAGGTTGGTCATAGTGGTCGAAAATCGAACTCGTCCTCATCGGAGTCATATTCCTCGCTTGCCTCCTCTCCAGGCTCGGAGAAGTCAATCCAGGGTATAGACACCCTGTCATCAAATCTAACTGTGATAGACATTGTCCGAGCATCCGAACATTGCCAGCGCTTAGAAGCACGACCATGGCCGTGCTTATGTTCTCCCATATTGAATTTGAGTTCGTAATTCGTGACATCAAAAGGGTTTTTGCCCTTTGGAATTTCGTGCTTGCAGACGAATGCCGGCCTGAAGTACTCCTTAATAGGGTCAATACCTATCTTGCATTGCCTGCAAGCCCTCTGAGTCCCATCCTCGTACTCGAGAAGAATCCCTCTGAAGTACCCTGTTGATGCATCCTCGAAGACACTCGCAATTCCTGTATTCGGGTTGTTCTGCGAGTCTCTCTATATCGAGCACACCATAGCGATCAACGGTTATTCGGAACACACCAGACTCGATTCCATTTTCGTTGGTCTCTATCTTCTCCCCTCGATGCCAACTGTTGATGGTGTCGAGTTTGCAGGACGTGTTGTCATAATTGGAAGTGCTTTTGTCAACCCTCGACATCTCCTCTGCTTTAGCTCTGATATATGAATAGCGCCAGAATAGATGATCAGACGAGTAGGATCTGATTGACTGGAGAATCTCGGTTGGAAGTGATTCCAGCTCCGGCAAGCCTATCGACTTGGCTGTAGGGGCAGTGACCGATGCCAACGACGCGTCGGCAAGATCAAGGTGCACTTTAGCCTCCCCTGGCGTGTGTGTCCAAGGAGTTGTCCAGGCTGTAGCAAGCCACACATGTTCCAATGCCGGCCTTTCTGGATATGCCTGCATAAACACACGATAGCAGTCTCGATGCACCGCTACAGACTCTGGAGATGCGGCGCACATCGTGCACGTGGGTCTGTTGCATAAAGGGTACCTATCCGTGCCTCGAATAGTCTTGGGCCCCCAGGGAGAGAAGAACGTTTTCGAGCAATATTCAGGGCAAGTTCCATATGGGTCTTTATGATGATTGAGCACTGTGGCCATCCATATGAGTAATAGAAAAGACATTGATGAGGATTGCATCCTTACATGCCATGATCTCATCTCCTCTGATAGGCTGACATCCCATGGTCCATCCTTTTCTGATATTTTGATAACAGAGGCCGCATACATCCTGAATTTGGATATGGCTCCCGTCCTTCGCGAGCATCCGTTCCTTCCACTTCTTCTTATCCCACCTCTTGAACGCCCACTCCTCCCCCTTAGTAGCATCCGAGTCCTTCATCTGAGCCAATGCCTTTAACGCCTTTTTCTCAGCCTTCTTAAATTTCTCATAATATTCCTCTTCTTCAGAATCCCACTCGTCCTCGTCACTCTCATTCTCCCACTCTACCTCGGAGTCTTCCTCAAGATATCGTGGGTTCGCCTTGATTGCAGGTAACATTCTGCCTGGCTCGTTGATTCTAGCCCTTGTAAGCCAAGTCAAAGCGCACCAGATTGCGGTGGAAGGTATAGACTCAGAAAATAAAGTTCAGGAATGAATAAGAGAGCACGACTATGCTGTAAGGGAGTGTTTATGCTACGTCATGTGGCTGTGCAGCTATCATGACGCTGGTTGGGTAAAGTAAGACAAGACATTTAAATGTCGGATTCTGTAGAGGTTGGAAGAATTACCAGTTACTCACGAATGGTACATGATTCAGTACACGCGATTGCTAGGTAGTGGTGAATTCAGCACAAGAGAGGAAGAGATATCCATAGTTCGCAATTATCGATGATCGATCTTTGGGTATCAATCAATACGGCTCATGACTATGATAATGGCAACGGAATAGTACAATTAAAGGTCAGGATATAGGTAAGTAGGCAGGCAGACAGGTCGCATAGTCACGGTTCAAGGGTCTTTCCTTGATGCCCCGGCTGTGAACATGCCGTACCTTCATTGTCAGATAGTCATAAGTTTACATATATTAGTAAATCCTAGGATAGAGGAAGGTATCTACCTATCTTCATCTCTTCGGCTTCCGTTTAGCTTCCTAGCTATAGTAGGCGACTAGGGTACGAGATATACACGGCTGAGTATCAATAATATACAGTACTTTCAGTTCATTTCTATTTTAATCATGCCATACACATCATTTATCAACTACAACACACCCAAATTCGCTAAATTTGAGACCCAAATAACCACATCCCATCTTTTATAGACCTGAACATCGTTTTGAAACCAAACGCCAAACCAAGGCCCAAATGTTTTTCATCCATTCCTTTTCCCTCATGATCGCAAGAATGTCTTGAACACTGGTGACTCGGTGCAGTCCTCATAAGGATACCCGATCCTGCGCAAGAAGTTGTGAAGCTCAGTGACTTCTTCGTCAGGGCACAAAATTCCGGTGACAATCTTGCCTACATCGCCGCCGTAGTTACGGTACTGGAATAGGCTGATGTTGAACTTGGGACGGAGCGTGGTGAGGAACTTCTCGAGGGCGCCTGGTCGTTCGGGGAAGGTGAACATGTAGAGGCGCTCGTTGGGGACGCCGGACCGTCCTCCGACGAGGTATCGGATGTGGCTCTTGGCGAGCTCGTCGTGTGTGAGGTCGGTCACGGTCATGTCGTTTGACTGGATACGGTCGATAAGGGAGCGGAGCTCTTCGGATCGCTGGTGAGCGGGGGCTGTTAGGGAGACACCAATGAGAATGTTGGCAACCTCGTCGGTTGAGTATCGGTAGGTGAACTCGGTAACAGCATGGGGCATGATGTTGTTAATGAGCTCTGCAAAGGACCCAGGGCGCTCCGGAATCTGTACAGCAAGCAGAGCCTCCTTGCCCTCACCCATGGTAGCACGCTCAGCAACGAATCTCAGGCGATCAAAGTTCATGTTGGCGCCGGATGTAACAGCGATAAGGTTGCGCTTTGAATCGTCTGAGGGGTTCTGGGCGACGTACTTCTTGAGACCGGCGATGGAAAGGGCACCAGCGGGCTCAAGGCCTGACCGAGTGTCGTCGTACATGTCCTTGATAGCGGCGCAGATCTCATCGGTCGACACTTCGATAACGTCGTCGATAACTTCCTTGCAGATGCGGAAAGTCTCTTCTCCAGGAATCTTGACAGCAGCACCGTCGGCAAACAGACCGACCTCGTTGAGCAGAACGCGCTCGCCCTTCTTCAAAGATTGCACCATAGCATTGGCATCGTGAGCCTCGACACCGATGATCTTGACGTGAGGAGCCATGCGCTTGACGTAAAGGCCAATTCCGGCAATGAGACCACCGCCACCAACACAGCAGAAGATAGCCTCCACCTTGGCCATGTTGACCTGACCGAACAATTCGTTTCCGATAGTTCCCTGACCAGCAATGACATAGGGATCGTCGAAGGGAGGGATGTTGATAAGTCCATCCTGCTTCTCTCGTCTCGAGCACTCCTCCTTCGCCGCATCGAAATCAGCACCGTGCAACACGACATGGCCACCAAGACGAGCAACGTTCAAGTGCTTGATGCTAGGAGTCGCCTCGGGCATGACAATGGTCGCAGGGATCTTGAGCTTGCGGGCGGAATAGGCGACACCTTGGGCGTGGTTACCAGCAGAGCAGCAGACAACACCCTTCCAGCTCTTGGTCGGGTCGAGATGAGCCATCTTGTTGTAAGCGCCGCGCAGCTTGAAGCTGAAGACGGGCTGCTGGTCTTCACGCTTGAGGAGAACATTGCATTCGAGTCGGTTGCTCAGGTTGACGGCGTTGGTGAGGGGAGTGACCTTGCAGGCCTCGTAAACTCTCGATGTAGCGCTGGCGATAAGACGAAGGTACTTGATTACTGTCAGCTTCTGTTCGGTCTGAAGATATAGTATATAACTCACGTCGGGGTATCCAGTAGGAAGTAGATACTCCTCAGGAACAATCTCCTTGATGCGCGCCTGTCTCTCCGCGGAAGGTGTCGAGGGGTTTGCGCTGTACTCCGTCAAGGCCATTCCGGTCATCGGCGTCTGGGGACGGGAAGATTCGCCATTTGTTCCATTGGCAGTGCCATTGACGGCACCGTTGACAGGCACGGCCACTACGGGATCAGCTGAAGGCATCGTGAAGGGCTGGCTGTGTGTTTAGAAATTTGTTGTAGGTGAGAACAAAGAGTGAAGCGACGAGAAGTATAAGGGACTCTAACTCTAGCGCCTGTCACCGCCGAAAGATCGGACCTGAATTTTTGTTGGTTTCGCGGAATACTATTTGCAATGAGTCAATTGGCACAGGGGTGACGTAGAATGTGGAGAGCGCTGCACCAGATAACAAGTCTCTACCGGGTGTCAATATCACGCCAGCGGACTCACCGAGAATGCGGGAGGCCGATACAAGGCCGGTTATCGTCTGATATAAGACATTCTCTATCCTTGCATTGACCTAGATATATGGATAATGACCTGATTGATATCTATGAACAATAACTGACGAAAATACGTCTCTTATAATTTATTTTGCCATGTATAAAAGTGACATGGTCCCCGGAATGGAGGGGTTGGAGAAGGGTCCGTGGGGTTCGATATCGGAGGTTTGCACCGTTGAGCTACCAACCACAGCTATTCTATTTGTCCAGCAACTGCATCGTGTAGCCCCAAAGGCGTGTAAGTGAAAGGCGTATTGGACAATTCTATGATAATCGGAAACATTAAACGAATTATAATCAATTCATTGAAATAACATCAGATATCGCTATAAAAGTGGCTAATCAAATCCCAAACTCTAAACTCCATCCTTATCGGGTATCTTACTTTCGCACAACTTCATCATATGACGGAGGTGCATCCCTCTGCTGACTGACCTCACCCAACTCATACATATTATCCTTAGTCTCCTCCCGATAACCCCTTGTAGCAGGAACATCCTCAGCCTGAGGCTGTCCAACAAGACCAACTCTTTGCGCTCCCTGTTTCACAAGCATAACACCCGCCTGTCGTCTCTCAGCCCTCTGAAAGTCCCTCTCCATTCGTTGTTCCACACGAAGTTGTGAGCGCTCAGCGCGCTGGAGTTGTCTTTGGTAGCGACGCTCCATCTTGCGCTGATGGCATGAAGATCGGCCATTGTAGTTTGTGATCTCGGGGTAGGATGAAGCCAGGTATGGTTGTTGATTCAGGTTTCGGCGACGGCAGCAACCTCCAGTGCGGTTTTGATTGTCTTGGCAGCCGAAGATACTGCCAATAGCAAGACCGATGAGACCCATGATGATTGTTTGTAAGAGTGTAGAGTGGTTGTGGTAAAGTTGTTTTATGAGTAGTGAACCCTGTGGTTGTAGGGTAGATGATATGAGTTGCTATGTTGACTTAATTGATTGATTGTGTTGATGATACTTTCTGTTCTTCTCGCGGAAACCACGTCTTCTTATATCTCAAACGTCGCATCCAGTTGATATTTGAAGCTATCCCTAAAATGTACTTTCATTCGACGTACAGTTGTATGCGAATGCGCAGCCACTCTGACGTACCTGGCATCTCGAATGGCGCACCCAACTCAGTTAGCGCGCTCCCACGAAAGTTCAAGAGGCACCCAGCCAATCTGCAACGTTGTAGATTTCGCATTCGCTTCAAATGGGAAGAGCTGAAAGAATGGTCGTACAGTATTGAACCATGATGTCAAGTTGCACTCCTAACGATTGGGCTGGGGAGCTAGGGCCGGCGAATGCGAAAAGCGGCTGATTTGATCTCGCATCACTCGACTTAGGTAGTGTTGGTTCAGTAAAGTAGGTAGTTGCATTTTAGTTCATGGGTGATATGCTGTATATCACGATCTATCATTTCTATCATTTCTAATAAATCAGTTTCCATCATAAACGTAAGATATCATCATCGTCAAAATGATCGAGAAAGTTCCCAATATGCTCTAAGCAGCGCGATCCCTCCGACCTGTGTCTCAACAGTTCGGCCCCTGCCCCGTGCATTGGGATCCTGCTGCTGCGCTTTCACTTCTCGTCTGCGAGTCCTAGGAAGGAGTCCATCCCGAGCAATGTCCATAACTTGCTGGTCAGGCTTTGACTCCAACGGTGACAAGCCTCCGGTTCCTGGAAGCCACCTGTGGCGTCCACCCCATGTTTCACCCGCTGGTGTTCCTCGGTTGCGGTAATCGGTTGTGTTCTCGGCGCCGTGCTTGATGCCGTCGTTGTCCAATGTGACGGTTGCGTCAAAGATGCCGGCTCCCCACCACATGCCGAAAAGACCAGCGTCGTTGCGGGTTTCGAGAGCGGCGAGGGCATTGTGCTTGACCCAGCCCAGGTACGACTTGCAGGCTCCTGCGTGGATAGACTTGACTTTCTGAAAGCCATGGGGATCGACTATCCTGCCTCCTTTACCCCTGAGAGGTTCGAGAGGGCTGCAGAATGCGGTGAAGTGGTGGAAAAAGATGCCCTTGAAGGTCTGGCCATCTTGGGAGCAGGTGCTACTAGCATCGCATGCCTCCTCCAAGACACCTCCTCGTCCAAGTCCTTTCCAGGGCGGCAATTTGCCGGGACCCAAGCGACTCAGTTCATCTACCGGCTTTTCGTCTTTCAAGCTCCATCCCGTCGCTTCGATCACAGACTGAATTAAACGATGGCCGTCTTCCAGGTACGAAGCACTTCCACTAACAGACCAGAGTCCCCGCTGGCCTGTGAGTAAGACACCCTGGTTGTACGTGTACACCATCTCGTCTCGAACGTCACACTTAGTGTTGCCGGGCTTGCTACTATCAATATGATACCCATCGACAAAAAGACCACGGGAGTTGGTCATGTTGACGTCTATGAGCCACTTGTATCCCTGAATGGCTGCCTCAAGATGCGCCGGGTCGTTATCCGGGAACGCAGCGTTGGCGAGCCATGGCGCAGTGAAGTTGTCGCCCGGAAAGTGCTCGTACATGGAGATCGAAGCGGAAATCCAGAGTTCGTTGGTTATGGCGTTTTTGTAAGGGTTGAGGCGAGGATTCCAGACCATGCCACCGTTGCAGAACTTTGTTTCCCAGCCGCGAGTTGCCAAGTTCCAGAAGATGCGAGAGCGGTGCGCAAAAGATGAGAACCAGTTGTAGCCTTGCCAAGGCATGGCATCGATCATATCTCTCAGACCATCCTTTGGTGAGGCCTCTTTTGATTTGATCTTGGGGTAGTGAAGGTCGGCATGAGTTCTCACAAATTTGATGGCCTCGACCCAGCCGAGAACCACCCAAAGAATGTCATCGTATGCCTTTGTTAATGTCAGCAAACATTCAAGAGCTCAATCTTAGTATGAGGTTTTACTTACTTGCCCTCGAAGGGACAAAACATCTTGTCCAAAGTAAGAGCCGACGAGTTGCGCATAGAAAGTTGAAATGATGTTTTCTTTCACTCTCCAATCATCGATTCCAGCCAGATCGACAGTATTGATGGCTTTTGACAGAGTCGTCAACATTCCAGCTACGACCGTTCCTGTCACTGCAGCCGTCCAGTCGATCGCAGAAGGCCATGTCGCATAGTCTGGTTCAAAGAAGGTATCTTGTAGCGTTGAGAGAGCACTTAGAGCATCCTCGAGAATCTGCGTTTCTGCTGGAGGGGAGTCTAATTTCTGTGGCGAGAAACTCAGGAACGTTTCTGGAATTGGACTGCAGTTTGTTGGTTTATCGGTATAAATAACAGGGCAATAATCCTGCTGTGGGTTCTCACGGCTGGGCGCACATGAGATGGGCTGGATGATGGCAAACACACTGGCAAAGCCAGCAGTGATTTTTAGCCAGATCATTGGATCTATAAAAGCCTTCGTAGGCCTTATTTTGAGATTTCTTGGCGGCTTCTGTAGTATGTGAGAAAAAAATGCTTGGATCAGGCCGCGCGGTTTTCATGAGATAAGTTGATCCATGTCATGAATTGTGGCAAGGCGATTTCGGAGTGTATCAAGGTATAAGATAAGCCAGCTTCTGTAAAAGTGCACACGATTGTTGGAAAGAAGGAAAGAGAGAGGGGAAGACCCGACATAGATATATTCACATAGGAAAAGTAAGAAAAAGAACGCAAGTTCTGTGACAGTATTGAATCAGTGTCAAGTTTGTCTGCCAGTCAGGATCTAAGTCGAGACAAGGTGTAACAGGCGATCTGCCCCACAGCGAAACGAATCAAGCAGGTCACAAGATGGGGTTCTAGAACAATGTACTAGAGGTTGAAGAAACGGTGAGAAGTTGAGGCTTATTTGAGTCATGAACAGAATTATATCGGTGTTTCTTGGTCAAAATTAGCCTCTATCGGCGTTTCTTCGTTTGTGATTGAGGATAATATTGAGCTGTGATAGACGGGAAGACGGTAAGAACGTGCCACATGAATAAACTTCGCTTGCTAGTGGAGTCATCGCTTATATGGCAGATTAATTGTAACGGTTTTAATTAATACTGTGGTATTGAATCATGAACGACACTCAGCTCAATATTATGATATCGCAGTATGTATTGTTGTTATTGTAGAATTTGGCTCTCAACTTTAGGTTAACCTCCACTCCTAAACCGTGAACCGTGAATGCACTGCACGTAAAAAACGACCCAACGCGCTGCGGACCTGCAGCGTGGAAGTGGGTTTCACCTGGAACCAGCCCCGCGGCAGCAGGGCTTTGGTTTGACGGCTGATACTGGCCAATCAGTCATTGAGACATCAGATCTAGCGGCCTTAAACCCAATTTCAAGTGGCTGGTAGTAGCTGCCAAAGTGGGTCTGATGGCGCTTTGTTTACTTTCTTCCAAAAACAGTCGTGACCCTGGCCTTCCTAAACACAACTTGATAAACCTGGGCATCTCTTTCTCTCCACCTTCAACATTGACGTTGTCACTTCCAATTCTTACATCTTTCTACTTGTGGCATTTATTTTTCTTCTTTCACGTCTTTCTTGACGCGTTTTGCCCACTAGATGTATTGCAGACATAGCATTGCCTTCAACTAATCCCCCCTATCACCAACACGGACGCTTTTATACGCGCCACGGGTGCTGTTGCATCCATACTCGCTTAATATCACCATATACCCAATTCACGCTCAAGTCTCAACGCAACGCGTGAGAAGGAGCCATGGAGGCCGACACCGCCAGCCGATATCGTTCCCGTATCCTTAGAGAAATGAAGGCAAACCGCGACAACCCATTCAACTCTCCTCCATCATCCACAGGTTCTCACGACACCGTTGACCAAACAGCTTCTTCCGTCTTTTCTGACCCAGACGGCGAGTCTACACGGAGACTCAACGAGGATATTGCCCGCGTGACTGCCCCCCGCAACCTGCCTGTTAACTGGGAGGCTGCCCACCGCAAGTGGCCCGAATTCTTCGGTGCTCCCAAGACACGCGAAGTGCCTGTATACGACGACGACACCGACACTCGCCCTATGAGCGCCGAGTCCAAGGAAAACAAACCCCCTGCTGCTGGAATTAAGTTCACAGTCGACGACATCACACAAGACACCTGGCAAGGTTCCGCTAGAACGCGTTCCGAGATGCAACCTCGTGTTGACGACGGGTCCGACCTCTCATCAATACTCTCCAAGTCTCCTGCCCGAGTCCATTCTTACCAATCCTGGAACAAAAACAAACATAACCCCAGCCCACTATCCAAGGTCCACACACGAGTTTCATCCGAATCAATGGCCGACCACAAACAACGACGAGAGTCTCTATCAGACGCACTAGACCGCCTACGGAAATCGGCAAGGAGCCCTGATCCTCAAGAGCAGGAACAGCAAAAGTCCTCACCGAATATGTCTGATGCCAGGTCCAGCTTGACTGCTGTGCCTCCTTCACCAGCCTCCATCGCTAGCCCTGCCCACAACGAAAGCAACGCACGCTCCTTTTTCATGCCCGATATCTCTCACCTGGGTGATTTCGTAGATGGCACACTCCGCTTCAGCGGTTCCATGAGACATGGCGTTCCCATCTTCGTCAAGAATGGCAAAGTTCACGATCGCCTAAAGAAGTCATCTCTCTCGGCTCATGCTGAGGTTGACGAAGTCGAGGTGCCTGAAGATGAAGAGAAGATCTTTGTGTCGATGGATATGATCCGCGAAGAGATTGTTTCCCTCCAGGAGCACTACGACAAGGTTCACGAATATGCCGAGAACCTGCAGCAGCAGGTTGAGCGATTGGAGGCTCAGCTTAAGTCGCGAAAGTCTTTCGAGATGGATTATGACTCTTCACGAGCCAACGAGCATCTTGTGGCTCAGAAGAACCGTAAGTTTATTGCACTATCATTGAATAGCAAATAACTAACTCATAAAAAGGTCTAGAAATCGAAATCTCCACTCTTCAGTCGCGTTTGGAACAAGCTTCTCGCAAGAACAGCTTGAACGAGATTGAGAACGACTCTCTTTCTCAAGAGCGAGATCGCGCTGTGAGGAAGCTCCAAGAGGCGTGCGAGGACATCAACAAGCTCACCCGCAAGCTGAGCACCAAGCAGAAGGAATTGGAGACGACGCACAAGCAACTTGAGTCAACAGATCAAATTCGTAGCGAAAATGACACTCTGCGACGAGACTTGATGTCTCTTAAGCACGGACGTGACTCGCTGAATCTTGAGAACAAGTCACTATCAGCCGCTAATGAAACCCTGCGAAAGGAGCATGAGGCCCTCAAGGAAGAGATGGAGTCTTTGCGTGCCGGCGGCAACGGCGTCCGACATGATCAGCAGTCCTTCATGGTCGAGAACCGCTCGCTTCGAACAACGAACAAGGCTCTTATGGAAGAGAATGAGGATCTTCGCGAAAACCTCGATGGTGTTCAACATGAGCTTGACGCTGCAAAGGAGGAGATCGAGAACTTGCGTCAAACACTCCAAAACGTCTCGCAAGAGAAGTCCACAGTCGACGAGGACAACGCAAGCCTTGTGCGACACAACGAGAAATACTTCGAGGAGAACAAGATTCTTCGACGTGAAAACTCGGGCTTCGAACGAAGCCTTCACGACCTTCACGACGAGAATGTGAAGCTCAAGGAGGAGGTGATTTTCCTGAAGAAGCAATTGGAATCTTACCGCCCAGTTCCCAAGGACGACTTCTCTGCTCAGCTTGACGATGAGACTGAAGAGAACATGACTTCAGCTTTCTTCATTCCTGACATCACCATGAACAGTAACACCGACGGTGTCGATACTGCCGAGAACGCGCAGGCTACCGAGACCAAGGAGATTACCGAGCAGACCGACGATAGTGCCAGGTTGCCCACTATTCCCGATGTTACAGAGGAGGAGACTCGCACACACACTAAGCGCGACAACACTGTTCAGAGCGAAACTAGGCAATCGCAGAGCAAGAGTAAGAGCTCTAAGTCTGGTAGCCAGCAGAAGGTTGCTTTCTCAATCCCCGGAAAGACATCGAAGAAGAGCAGTTCCAATGTCGCAAACCAGGGCAGCAAGCGCCGAACTACTTCCGATTCTAAGAGGCGAAGCTCTTTGAAGGGTGTTGCGACTTATGACATGGACACAGTAGAGGACAACGACGAGACTACTGGTGCGCAATCAGTTGAGAACACCACCCAGGATAACGATTACTCGATGCAACTCGACGTTGTTCCCAAGGCCCGCAAGGAGGTCAAGGTACCTGAAAAGAAGCAGAAGCAGTCGAACACCCAGGATGTGACTGCTCAAAGTCAGAAGTCTTCGCACTCTCGATCACACTCCCGATCGCACTCCCAGCCTTCGCGCAAACAGGTTACGACTGATATCACGGCTGATAGCATCAAGAGCGTGGACAAGGATACCTGCCCTGCCCTCTCGAGCGATGCCAGGAGGGTGCTTGATGATCTCTGCGAGCACGAGTGCAAGAACTGCACTGTCTGCAGCCGCATCACATCTCACCGTGGCATCTTCTCTTCCGCTGATATCATCGCCGGTAAGAAGCGTGTTACCATTCGACGACCTGTCCCTGTCACAGATCGCGATCTATCGGTTGAGGACCCTACTATGCGCCCTGCTCAGCACCCTGGCCATGCGCTTGCTGTAGTCATTAAGGGCCTGGAGGATGAGTCTCACCATCTCCAACTTGAGCTTACCCGCATTCAAGCTAAATACGCCGGTCGCGACAAGGCTTTGGGCCGCCGCGACCGTCTCAGCCTTGCTGAAAACATTCGCACACTGCTCAAGCAAGTTGAGGCGAAGAACGACCAGATCTACAGTCTGTACGATGTTCTTGAGGGCCAGAAGGCCGCCGGCCAGGCCATGTCAGAGGAGGAGATTGAGTTGACAGTGCTAAACATCACGGGCATGACAGTCCGTGATGCCACAAGCCACAGTGACCAACTTACTTGGGAGGGTATTCCTGAGCTATAAGAAATTGTCGGTATGATATGAAGCGTTATGGGCGTGCGGAATTTGAAATCAACCATGGAAAAGGCGTTTTTGGTTCAGAAATTGGTTCTTGGTTCGGTATCGACCATCGCGGGTTAGATGGCTCTACTCGGGGAGTTTGGAATTACCACGGGCAATCAATTAGTGTATTGTGTTTTATACAGATATGACTCGCTAGCCTTGGGCGAGAATGACTACGAAGACATTTTTCAGTTGAATTCATTACATCCTCTTGCACAAATTATGATCGTTCTTGTTGATGATGAAGTTTAACAGAAAAAGGAGGTAAGGTATCCTTGATTTAGGTCTAACAAATATGAAATTATGTCCGTTTTACACACCAACCCAGAAAAAACACGAAAGATTTTATAGCTACTCCTCATCATCCTCTTCGCTGTCAATGACATCTTCGCCATCCATCTCCTCGTCCTCATCTTCGTCAATTTCCTCGTCTTCGCTTTCCTCCACTGGGTCCTCCTCCATGGCACCCTTCTCATCCTCACGTCGCTTGCGGTCGTCCTCCCTTCTGGCCTCCTCGAGAAGCTTGGCACGCTCAGCACGAGCCTTGCGCTGTCCCACAACGTAAGCTCCCAGAGGTGTCTTGGCAACATCAAAGTCACGCAGGAAAGCCTCGACCTGGGTGCGGTCCTTGGGGGCGAACTCGACTTTGGCGCGCTTCTCCTCGATGAACTTGCAGTTGGCCTCGATCTTCTGGACGAGAAGGATGAGCTGGCCAGCGAGCTTGGCGTTCTTGTTGCCTGCGTTCTTGTTGCGGGCTTGCTTCAACCAGCGCTTGAGCTGGATGATAACGGGGAGGGCGAGCTCGGGGAAGGCGATGGAGGTGGCCCAGAGCATGAAGTACTCGCTCAGAAGCTCGACGAGCTGCTCACCGACTCCGTCTTGGAATACACGGGTGCGGAGGTAGGACTTGGGTGCCTTGTATGATGTGGCGAAGTCGAAGGGCTTGAGAGAGGCGGCCTTAGGAGCCTTCTTCATCTCGGCTGAGGAGAGGACCTCGATAAGAGGAGAGGCGAGAGGGATGTAAGTGCCCGTCGCGCGAGAGACTCGGAGAAGTGAGCGGATTAGGTGGAAGCGGAAGGGGAAGTAAACAGCGGTGGGGATCAGACGCATGGCTCCGAGTGTGACTTGAACAAGAGGGTAGATAAGAAGCTTGAGCTGGCTCTCCTTTCCAGCCTCGGCCTCCTTCAGGGGACTGCAGTGCTCTGCAAGAACACATGACCAGAAGTCAAGAGAGTGGGTGTACTGCCAGTTGTAGACAATGCGGAAAGCGTCGTTCTTGTTGTGGACGATACTGTTGCGCAGGTGGATGGCAAGCTGTCGGATAAAGGAGAAAGCAGTTGTGTAGCCAACAGCTTGGTCGATGCCCCAGAGCTCAGCGGCAGAGTTCTTCATGAGGTTGATACCCTGGACAGTGTTGGCATTTGTAACACGGCAGCCCTGAATGAGACCTTGGTAAACGGCCTTGAGGACTGTCTCGCGAATACCCTTGTCACCAATAACAACGAGGCGTCGTAGGACAAGGAACGCTGTGATCTTTGTAGTCTCGGAACTGGCAGGCTGGGCCCAGAAGTTGACGACAGACTTGGCAAGAGCCTTGACGAGCTTCTTGAAGGAGAGGAGGTAAGGGAGGATGGGGGTGATGGAAGAGAGAGTGAGCTTGAGGGTCTTGTCGTCAGAGAGGGTGCTCAGGAGGTGCATAATGGAAGAGGTGTATGTCTTGAGCAATAGAGATAGGGTGTGGAACTTCTTTGACTCAGTTTGGACGTGGACCCTGCCGGAAGCTGACTCCTTGACGGGGAGGTGGTGGTTCATAACCGTGGGGATCTCCTTAAGCGCAAGGAGAAGAATGTCGTTGAAGACCTCGGGGCTGTTAATAACATATCGCTGCTGAGACTCCTCCTCATCGTCCTCGTTCAAGTGCGCGGCGCAACGGAAAGCGAGAACGACCTGTCGGGCTGCTCGTAGCGAGTGTCTGTCGGCCATAGCCTTCTTCCATGAAGCAACAAGCTCACGAGTCAATTCGTTTCCTTGCGCGACAGCCTCGGCCTTCTTGTCCTTCTTCTGCTTCTTCTTCTTGGGCTGCTCCTCTTCTTGTTCCTCCTCGTCGTCGCCGCTGAGCGCATCGACCTCAGCAAGATCGGCATTGTCGTCAAAGTCGAGGACCTCGGGGTCGTTCTCCTTCAAGAACTTGTAGAATTCGGGATCCTTCTCGGCGAGCTCATCCATGGTCTTCTTGCTCATGCCGAGATCCTCACCGTCGTCCTCGTTGTCGTCGCTGTCGTTGGCAACAGGTTGCTCGCCCATTGAGTCGTCAGAGTCGTCTTCGTTATCCTCGGCGGCGCGACCATCTCTCTTGCGCTTTCCAGACTTGCCATTCTTCTTATCCTCGATAATCTCATCGAAACCGCCATTGAAGAAGTCATCGACGCTCATTTCGTTGACCTTCTTGCCCTTGGCGGCAGGCTTCTTAGCCTCATCCTCCTTGTTGGCGCTTATGGACTCGGCATCCTTTGCTCTTCGCTGCTTCTTCTTATCGAGCATCTGCTGGCGCTGCTTGACTTTGGCGCCCGCTTTTCTCTTGTCGAGAACACCTGTAAGGTGCTTCTTCTCGAACTTTTTCGTCGCCTTGAGATTCCTCTTGCCTGGCGCCATTTTGAAAAACTTGAATGCGCCTTGGCTGGTGAAGAATTCGACTTTTGGGGATTAGGTATGGTTTTTGTTTGTAACTTTTAGATGGGTCTCCAGAGGCTCTTTGCAACCAAACCAAAAACCAAAAATTTTGCTGCTGGTCTTATCGATAACGGGACATCAACCAAAACGACAGGCGGTGTGGATATTCTGCCAAGATCCCTACGTAACATGTCCCGCAGGACATCCTAGGCATCCCACCTCAAGCTCCATCGCGGCGCATCCCTTTAGAACATTTGGTAGTTACAAACCAATGCTTAATTCATAATGATTCCAAGACAAGGCTATGCGCCAACTCCTCACAGTTATGTTCCCAACACTCACCTTTCTGCCAGTATAAATCTTGACGAGGTATATACAATTAACTCGACTTACACTGTTACTCAACTAACAACTGAGCGTAGGAAGTCAAGCTCACGAATACCCGTGCCGAGCGCGACCTCCAAGAATCCCTCGCAGAGCTCTTTAGCATTATAATTACACTCGATGAACTTGAAAAGGCCTTCCTTAAAGATGCTGTTCCCGAAGCAGAGTACACGGAAATTTGCGAGCGATCGCTAAGACAGTATAAAGCACTGCTGCAAGATGAGACGATTGCTAGGGAATTTGGCGATCTTGAGGATTTCAAGGCCAAGTGGGATGTATGCTATTCCCCTGCGTCATACTGGAAATTTTACATTGGATACTGACAGTGGTATAGCTTGAAGCACCTCGCGCAACCGAGCGCATTCGTGTCGGCATGCCATCCACAGCCATCGACCGAGCCCCCTCAGTGCCAACTCCCGCCCCCGCCGCAGCTGCCAACAACACCAGCGGTGTTCTCATTCTCGAAGCTACCCAAGAGTTCATCACCTTCCTCGACGCTGTTAAGCTTGGTCTTCTTTCCAAGGACCAACTGCATCCTCTTCTCTCTGATGTCATCCAATCAGTAAATCGAGTTACGGATAAGGACTTTGAGAACCGTGGCAAGATCGTACAATGGCTCATTACCCTTAACCAGATGAGAGCGACCGATGAGCTGAGCGAGCAGCAGGCGCGTGAGCTGGAGCTGGATATTCAACAAGCGTACCAGGGATTTAGAAGGACCTTGACATGAGAAGATATGATGTGACGACCTTTGTATATGTTACTGTTTTTGAGAGCGAAGATGCTTGCGCCAATCTTTACATGGCTATTAGAAGTGGTGTGCCTAGTCTATATACCCATGAACCTTCATTTGATACAATTACACCAGGAATGTCCAGAAGCTGGGGTACACGAACTCTGACTCGAAGATCCGGCGGACCTGTTCGAGTACGAATCTCTCGACCTTGCCAACGTTTTTTAGACTCTGCTTCCCTCCAACTCGTTCTCCGATTTCGCTTTCCACGCGGATTTCCTGTAGGAGACCGCCGACTCTTGGTTTATGATCCTCACTCTTCGCAGCCCCACCAGCACCCTTTGAACCTTCGTCGTTGGGGTCGTCAGGGCCAATAGCTGCAAGTGCATCATCTGGACCGAGGAAACAGAAATGCACACGCTTGCGAATATGTGCCAGCACACCCACGCCGTCGAAGGTCAAGCCTGTGATGTTAAGCTTCAGGGGGATGCCCACGAAACTCGGCATAGGGTAGTCAAGTAAAATCTCCGCTGTAAGGTTCAATCGAATGTCGCCGTTGTAGCGTATCCTGAAAACAGCCTGGACGTCCTCCACGCGGGGTTCCCGTGGTCGTCGTCCTGCCTCCTCTTCTCCCTCTTCTTCTTCGTCATCATCAACAATCGCTGAGCCGCCGAGATGCGTATCTCTTGTTGGTGGTCGTGACGCCTCCACTGACGTAGGCGCAAGTGTAGACACGCTTCCCTTTTCACGCAGACTCTGTAATGGATCGAGGCTGGCCTTGAAGTTATCCACTGATGTGAGACTGCTTTGTGAAGGGTTTCGGGTGTGGCTTGGAGTTCCCCATTCGCGAGCTGGTGTTCCTGGGACGCTCATCCAGTTGGTGTGATGTGCACTTGCAACAGCGGCGAGAGGCGTATGTGTGCCTGTGCCAAGATGGCTTTGGAAGTAACCGCCCAGGCCTGATCCCCCTAGAATTCCTGGTGTTGAAGTTCCCAGAAATGGGCTTCCTAAATCATGGCCCATCATCTCATTTCTCAACACCTCGCCTCTCAACCCACCACCTCTCCTCGTGTTTCCTCCCCACGGTGCAGGACCAGGCCTCATCCTCGCAGGTTCTGGAGGCGGTGGTGGTGGCGACGGCTCCTCGTCACTCTCTTCATCATCCTCATCTAGATCTTCCTCGTAAAAGTCCGGTAATGGATCTGTGATATCCTTGAGCTCGAGCTGCGGAGGAATAGTTCCAAAGTCGAAACCGTGTACTGTTACTGAGCGGATGAATTTTGGTAGTGGAACGGTCTGGAATTTATCGTGGACGAATTCCCGGATGCGCTCAGCGAGAGCGTCACCGTCGGGACCACTCGTGAGTGTCTCCCAGTTTAGTTCAATCGACATTGGAATTTGTTTTCCTGGTTTTTGTCGTTGTCAAGTTTGAGTCCATATGGTTTACTTTGGTAGAAGTGGATGAGATGATGTAGAGGTTCCGTACCTGGCATCCATGGCTAAGTAAGTTTTAGTGGCTTACAGGCGCTGCAGGTCTTACAACGCCCCGAAGCGTCGTGGACCACTTTGAACAAAACTCACAGATAGTCATGGAAATGGTTGCTTAATTCTTGCAGCCAGACATTGAATCTAATCATGATGCATATCTCATAAGACTATTTAATGCAAGTTCAATGTATCGTAAAACGGTATGCTCCCTTGTTGAATGAATGCTCTCGTAAATACCCCCAACGACGCTGATGCTTGCTTTTACATATAACAAAAATGCAACCCCCTTTAACGTTTACAATGGCCGTCATGAACTACATTTATTTTCTTGATTCGTAATTTTCACCTTTTAATGTCCTTCTTTGTATGTTCCTCAGCGAAGCATCTCGGGCTCCTCGAACCTAGCGCGCCCATAGTAATGCGGGTACTGAGGATTGTTGAACAGATGCCAGCAGTTGGGCGCCTGTAAGATATATCTAAACACCAGTCAGTATTCAAACACTTTTGCGAGTATCACCATGTACGTACCTGGCCATAGCCTCTCTGAATCGAGACTTGTACTCCTTGGGACTTGTGACAGTAGGTCGGTTGCGACCACCGCCTGCAAATCCACGATCCTTGATCCAACTTTCAAGCTTCTTGTCCCACGTGTATGTGCGAATGCAATCAATGATACCAACCACAAGCTCCTTGCGAGCCTCGTCAACAGCAATCATAAGAGAATAGTCCATCACGTTCTGTCTTGCCAAGAACAATGTGTCATTCCATACTGAAGCACGGAGGAGCTTCTTCGAATGTTCTCTCGCGAAGAGAGGCGACTCATAAATGTACTCGACCATGTTCTCATCAAGGAGAACCTCATTCTGCTCACCAGTAGATTGAATCTTGCGGTTACGCATGGAACCCTTGAGATCGAAAATTCTTGTTGCGGTGCGATCGTAGAAAAGGTTCTCGGTGATCAGAAGATCCAGCTTGATATCGGTTCCTGTAACAGGGTTCTTGATGAAGACTTGGAAGAAGCCTAGCATCTTGGCAATCACAGATGGCAAATCGTGGAACAAAGCCTCCGCCATGATGTTGAAGTAGCCAGGGGCAAAACGCAAGAAAGCCGAAGTCTCGATGGGAGAAAGAGACTTCAGCACCAGTCGATCATCCAATGTCTTCAGGAATACCGACTTGGTCTTGCCACCCTTGGAATCCCACTTTAGGCATCGCGAGAGTGACTCGACAATACGTTCCGCAACACCGCACTTTCTCCTGAGAGCATCGAATTGTTCTGCATAGAAGATCTTGCAGGTCATTGTGGCAGTGCCTTCTCGGAACTGATACTTGAGATGGGTTCCTGTGACTCGGAGCAAACTCTTCTCCAGGTCTGATTCAGACACCCAGTCGATGCCCTCCGAGGGAAGAGATTTGGGTTCTCCTTCAACACTGCTATCACCCTCTCGTTGCATAATTTCTTGCGCTTCTTTGCGAATATTGCGCAACTTGCCCTTGTAGTCTTCGCTATTGAGAGCGAGCGCAATTACCGAACTTGGCTCATCCTCCCGAACAATGATATCTGAGTCAACAAAGATGTGGTCGCTTGGGTTGACAGGGTATTCGAGTTGGTTCCAGCCGCTTGAACCTCGCTCAGCCCAAAAGTTGGTGAGGTACTTCATCAAGCTCGTCTTTTGATGTTTGGGAAGCTCTAACGGGATTTCGCTTGCGTCTACTGAATCTGCGATCTCCTTGATATCGTGCAGATACTCATCTGGGACCGAGTGCTCAAGATCAGTGGTTCTTTCTTCGTCGTCCGAGAAATTCTGGCTAGTGTTCGCGATGGTATGCTCATCGTTCTCTTCTTTTTCCGTTTTCTCGATCTTTTCGTCATTGTCTTCCTGCTCTCCCTTGCTTTGACACTCTTCATGCTGTTCACATTCCTCGTTCTGCTGAGATGGATTGTCATGTTGCTGTTCTTCCACGCTCGCAGGTGGTTCTGCAGGTGTCAGCGGCTCAGCGATAGGATCCGACCTGTGCTGAGAGTCGGACTTTCGTGAAGCGACGCTGCCAGCTCGTTTGCTAGCTTCACGCTCAGCGACACTCTCTGTGGGAGGACTTGGTTCTTCGAAAGCTTCGTTTACGTCGTCATAAACCTCGACAATAGCCTTTGTAGTGGTTCTAGGTAGCATGGCTCGAGGTTGGCGCATACTTGCGGCACGCTTCTTACGGTCCCGGATACGCTCCTTCTCAAATTCACGACTGAGCTGCTCGAAATGTTTCGCGAGCGTTGAAACCTTGGACTCTCTCTTCTTATGGACGAATCGCGGGATTCCTGAAGCAGTCGCCTTGCCTCGGTCTTTGAGATTCTTCAAACCAAGACGATCAGAGAGCTTCTTATCCACTCTGATCGATCCTTCGGCCGTTGTTGTTGACTCAGGTCCCAGAGACTCAGAAGGCTTTGTCTTGGAGTCCTTGGCACCAAGGCTCTTCCCAATCCCGGACTGTGTCCTGGGCAGTGCACGGGTAGGATGAGAAGTCGACCTCACCATGGGAGGGGAGGTCGCCTGACCAGATTTGCGATTCGGTGCACGCTCGCTAGTAGGGGTAGGTATCGAGGATTGGTTTTGATCTCGCCTCATTTGATCAACTCTTTCTCCCAGAGAAGGTGCTGGAGAAGGCAATGCGTCCATAGGTGACGGGAGTGGCTCAGCGGAGTTGGCTGGAATTGCATCGAAAGGCTTTCCAGGTGCTTTTGGTGTTTGCTCAGGATCAACAGCAAGAGGTGTTTCTTGATCGTCGAAGTCTTCCGAGGCCTCAGCGGGTGGGAAATACTCGGGAAGGGCTTTAGCTGGTGTCGCAGGGGTGCAAGCTAGATCCAATGGCTCAACTCGTTCAATAGCACCCTCTGCAGGAATCTCGATTTTGCCATCTTCATCGGGGATATCTTTGTCATCAATAGGGACATCTTTATCATCGACAGGCTTTGATGAAGCGACACTAGCCTCCATACTGGTGTTATCGGTGTAGTCGGTAGGTTGGGTGCTCTTCCCTTCCTCTTCCGTGAATGTCTGAGAAGGTCGTTCCTCGCTGTCAACCGTTGATGGTGTACCTTCATTTGACGTGAGGGATTCCTTCGACTCATTGTCGGTGAACATCTTCTTCAGTTGCATAATTGTGAGCTGGCGCATATCCTTGTCGCTCAGGAAATCGGATTCAAATTTGGCAAAAGCCTGATCCCATTCGCCAGCCTTTTCAAGCATCTCTCGGACGATACTATTGAAAGGCACCACCTCGTAATACTTTGAGTTGACGTAGATGTCTTGCAGTCTCTTCACAATAAGTGGTTGGTCCTCTTTCGCCTTAGCCGTCAAACGATCAACCTCAGACTTGCACAGATCTGCCTTGTCGGGCAGCACACTGTCGATGCGAATGCACATGAGTCTTGCTCTGACTGAAGTCATGAACTTGGCCCATCGCTCTTCCATTCGGGCAAAGATCTCGTTCTTGAGTTTCAGATCGGTTGCCACCTTCCAAGTGATTCTCGCACGTGGTACAACGATCTCAAGCAGATCGATAGGATCCCAGTGAATGCGAATTCGAGCATCCTGAAGACTGAAATACCGAACATGGTCTCGGTGGTGGTCATGAGGGCAGTCATGCATGTCCTTCATCTTCAGTCCGCGTCCCCAAAAGAGGAGCTCCAAGTATTTGCCGAAAGAATATTTGAAGGTCGCCTCCGACATGGTTCTTTCTTCGGTGTCCTTCTTGCAGATCTTGCAATAAGTCCACATCGTGATGCCGTCAAATTCAGCCATGGAAGAGTTATTTGGCAAGTTCTCAACAAAGACTGTAATTCGAGACTCGTCATGCACATAGGTTCGGTGATGTTCGAGCATCCTGCGTTCGCAGCCATTCGAGGTGCAGACTTGATTCATGGTGTACGCCAGATCCTCGATGTATTGTCCCAGAGTACAGTCAGGGTCCATGCCGGTGTCGATGTGTTGTTCATCGTAGAAATTGATGGCTACCAAAGACGGCTCAGTGCACGGGATCTTGGTTTCAGTGCAGATGACGGAATAAAGAACGACGATGTTCTGATGTGAGTATGGATCGAAAAGGTCGAGGTTGCCCTGGATGTATGTCTCCCACTGGCGTGTTTGGGTCTGGTAATTGTACAAGGCCTTGTCGTACTCAGCATCGTGAACAGCGCGTAGGATCTCCATGATCTGCTGTGGCGCCTTTTGACCGATCGCTTCGACCATCTCAGGTTTGATAAGTTGAAATCGGGGCGGATCTGCCTTTTCAGGGTCACCCTTCTCTTCATAGTAATCGTGATTACGGAGTCTGCGTAGATACAACAATCTCCTCTCCTGCTCACGTGCCTTCATCAAAAGGTAAGGTTGCTTAAACTTGACATACGGCGAAGCGGACAGAATTTTGGTTTCGTACTTCGCCACCATATCACTGTAGTAAGTAGGCATTGGAACATCGTCTGGAACTTGACTAATAGTCTGGTCTGCAGGAGCAAGTTCAGGCTCCTGGAGAGATTTCGAGCCAGTGCGTTCGTGGACCAATTGTCCTGATTGTTCAAGGGAGCCATTGTCATCAGTTTCGGCAATACTAGAGCTGTCCACTGTAGTCTGTGAAGGCTGTTCACTTTCGCTTGCTGGGTGGTTGACCACAACAGAGGGGCCATCTCTAGAGTGATCAATGCTATTGACACTCTGAGACCTAACACTGTCGGTTGGAAGGTGCACAGAATTTGCCATGGAATCGCCACCTTCCGGGAGCTCGATAGACTCATCCCTCAGTAGGCTTGACTCAAGTTTGAGGTTGTAAACAACATAAACCATGAACTCCATGATGTGCTTCACTTTTGAGAGCACCGTGCTATTAGCGCCCCTCAACGCAATTGTACAGCCAAGCTCGGGTGTGCAACCTGATAAAAAGATATATGATTTTTTGCGTCCTGGGTAGTCATTGTTCACAAATGTCCTGACCTCAAAGTTTGCGCATCGTCCAATCTGAACGGGGAGGGCCAGCATATCAAGCGAGGATATAATGTCTGTTTCGGCACATCGTGCGACCGCCTCAATGACTGTGTGCTTAACATTGTATGCCACTGAGATGTTTGCATCCGACAGGTATTGTAACGCCACACCTGATATGCTTTTCTCAACGAGAAGGACCTGAGGGCGAAGATTCGTGATTCGTTGGACCACAACACGTAGAAACTCTTTTTCTTGCTCGATGACGGGCTGCAGGCTCATAAAGTGCTGTTGGTGACGTTGGTACTCGATGGGGAATGTCACAAGCATGACACGAGGATTGGAGATCCTGCGTGGCATGCTCTTCAATGCTAAGTTCTTAGTAAAGACTACACCTGAAATGTAGGCTGTATCGCCAGGCTTGCCTCCCGGAATCCTTTTCAGTTTGACATAATGCCGGATATCCATGTCTTCGCCTTTCGCAACATCAGGGTCCACATCGTCCGTTGCCCGCAAAAGAATAGGAACCAAAGCCTTCTGCCATGCTGGTGGATTTGAGATCTTAGCATCATCCAACAGTTGATGAAGAAGCTTATCAACATGCCTCAAACTCGATGAGTTAAGCTCAACTTTGGGGGCTTTCTTGTGCTGTAAAGAATCACTTCTAGTGATCTGGGTCCCACTGTGATGAGGCGTGTCCAACGCAAAGAGCATTTCAGATGACTGGGATGGCCCCTTGTATACGCCAGAGTATACACCGGACTTGGGGCGCGGCGATGGCAAGTGATGCATACTGCCAACATTGCTAGTGTTGCGTCGCCTTGGTGGTCGTCGATATGCCCCAAGGCTGCCCGGCAGCTCATCAATACCACTTCTGCTTGCGAAGCTCATGCCGCTAATGCTCTTTTCGCCAGCCCTATGACGATATTTCCTATTAGCATTGACATAAGGCGAGAGTTCTGACTTGTCATCGCCGAGGCTTCCAGGCTGCAAGTCGCCTGTCATTGTCGCAAAAAGACTCATCTGTTCGTCTTCGCTCGATTCATCAGACATGTAGTCAGCCAGCTCCGGATCGATGATGTTATCGTCGTGGAAAGCTGGGAACTTTGGCTTCTTAGCACTCTCATCATCAGCGACACGTCGAAATGGCGCTGTCTCCTGCGGTGCAGGTTTGAAACGATTCAGGAATCCGGCATGCTTGGAATGGTGTCTCTTATGACCCGCGGATGAGTGTGGCCTCGCGCTCAGAGATTTGAGCGACCGTGATGAACCAGGTCTACTCAACTGGGGAGCATCTATCTCCAAGATAGCTGCAGCGCGAGACTCGCCAAGGCGACGTGTTGCTGGTATGGCCATCATGGGTGTTATTACAGGCCTTGACACAGGCCTCGAGTCCTCCGATCCTTCTGAGATGACCCCGGACTCATTATCTCGCGGCCTAGGTTGGCTGCCATTACTGGGAGATTTTGCGTGGTTTGAGCCAAAGAACCTTGGCATAAAGGATTGTTCGTCCCCAGAATCATCTGAGCCGCTGCCGTCAAATCGCCTGGTGATAACCTCCAGACATCTTTTGCAAACGCGCAATGAGCCTTGCACACCAAACTTCTCTCCTGATATAACCGTAGTACACTTAGAATCAAAGATGCAGCCACAAGTTCGGCAGTGATGTTTGCGTCGGAATGCACTGAATGGTGTCTGGCAAAGGAAACACTCTTTGACAGTGTCATCTTTCATCCAGAACTCCTTACTCAGAACTTGTTTGCGCATACGGTTAAGCTGAGCGCTGACCTGCTCCGAAGCCTCTTCGCTGCTGGTTACAGTACCGGGTATTCTGAAATCACCAGACGCCATCTTTTGTTGTTTAGGGTTATGAGAAAAAGAATCGTGGCATACTGAATCATGGGCAGAAGTGCTGACGTGGCTAGGCTCTGCGGTACCCCTGTCCAATGAAGAATCTCTCGAATTCTGCCCACCAGGCGATTTTGAACGACTGATTCGGTCAATGACGGCTGGCTTTCTTCTTACACTATCGGGTGACAGTAAAGATGAAGTAACAGAAGGGCTGCGAAGGCTTCGGGTCTGCAGTGTCTGTAATGAGGGTGTACGATGATGGTGGGCGCTTCTAGGGCTCGCCGGGCTCTTAATGCTCTCGTCTATGCTTGAAGTGTCCTCACGTTTCGACCTCGGTGGAAGTTTGCCATCCTTCATATCAAACAGACTGGCTGAGGATTCAGCTGTTGTTAGATGAGCTTGCAAGTCAGCCCTGCTGCTGATGCTCTTCCGACTCGACCCGACACCACCACTGTCCTCGGTGCGTAGAGTGGTATTACTAGGATCTCTATGTACTGTAACAGGAGCAATCGTGGGGTCAGCGGCAATAGAGCTAGGTGCCTTCTTAGAAAAGCTTTGACGGCTCGTAGTGTTGGAGGTTTTATTAGACATGAGGCTGATGCTCGACGGTTTGGATGACTGAGCTTGCGGTCGGGGTTCGATGGTGCCACCGGTTACTTGTGCTGAAGTTCCATCGTTCGGGAGCACTTGTGAGGACGAGGTGGACATAGAGGCACCAGTGTCGGCTCGGTTCAGCGAGCTAATGGAGGCTTTCGAGCCATGATTCGCAGTGATCGAGGTTCGTTTCGAAGACGGCTCTGATCTCTCGGCTCCTGGGAATCCTTCTTGAGGCGATTTTGGAGAACCTCCACCACCCACAGCTTCCCTCAATCGGCTATAAAGACCGCTAAAGCCTTGATGAACGAGATCGCCTGCTATTCCTTTGTTATCAGAGGTAGGTGCGGCTATCGGCGGCGGCGCAAAGTCGTTGAAGGTAGTGAGAGAATCACACTGGCTTGCCGATGTGTGTATTTTATCGAGTGTATGGGCAAGTTGCCCCGTTGTGATCGAGTTGATAGAATCGCGGCGGGTTCGGATGGGGGAAGTTTCCGATGCTACAGAGTCAGCCCTTGGCGGCGCCATATTGACGGTGTAATTATCGTGAGAATCGGCGGGGGCAAAAGTCAACCGATAGAAAGCAAAGCGACTTGAGGGGTATAAAAGTTGGAGTCCGTTATGCGGATAGCTTGGGGTCGTCAACTGAAGGGTCCTATGTGTCTAAGACCCAACGCATGTGACGATGGTCCGCTTCAGGACGCTCAAACAAACGCAACGACCACGGATCGAATGCGAGATATCAACAGCATGGTGAGTCGCGGCTGTTTAAGGCAAATAATCAGACAGGCAGGCCGTTTGTGGATAGATGGAGAAGAGGCGAGAGGAGAAGGTCGATCTTCAGGGTTCGCTGATCGGTGAAGGTTGACAACGGACAAGACTGCACAAAAAGGTTGGGGTCTTGATCAAGACGGGATGGCGCAGGCTAATTCAGACGTTAAAGGCGGATAAGGCAAGAGACAGCAAGCAATATGACGAAAGGGTATCAGCAGGGTGTTGCGGCGCAGAAGAAGATGCCGGCCCGCACAGCTAATCACAGTTGTGCGTCGTCAAAGTCCAAGGTCGAGAACAACCTTTGGGCATCTGAGCTGGATGTAGGATGCGTGATGGCGTCAGACCCTTGCAAGTCAGCGTCCGGGAGCGGGACAGTTTGTTAACGACAGGGGGGTAGCTGGTACATGTCTAACATTTTTCACTGATGATGGAGGCAGATAATGTTAGCACCACGGTCGGCATAATGAGTAAGGCTTGTGGTATCTGGGAGTATAAAGGTGATTATTTCTCGTCTATGCCATCCTCTAATATCGTGACAACGTTTATCGCTTTCGTGCTGAGCTGATGCAGTGCAGCTGAAGTTACACCCAAACCGCAACCCAGTAAACTCTGCACATGCAAAGTCTTGCAGAATAAAAACTCAAAAGTACCGACGACTTGGCGCTGATCGAGCACGAGCCATCTCCCGAGTACAGGCTACCACACCCTACAAAAAGGACCCCGCAGATTTCTACGCGGCCCAAAATTACCCGTCGCGTCGCGCTACAATTCGATTCTATTCGCTATATCCATCACTTCACTCGATCGTCACATCAAATTCCACTTTACAACAACCTCTCTGATCTCTGCGTCTGCACGATAACCAGCTGCGTACACATTTCGCAAATCCCCCAAGGCCGATCCTCGTGTTCCATCCACCGATCCATTTGCCCCGTCGCACAACGCCATTATCGAGCACCACCGCCTTAGCCCATGTAACCTCTAGTGACTGGTGCAGGACAGTCTCACGGTCCAATGTCTCCCGCTTCGTCCCCTTCGCGGGACGTCACGGAGCTTGTTTCCCGGCGTCGCGGCATCAATATTCCCTCCGATCAAAAGAGTTTGCTAGAGAAACAAGATTCTTGGGCGGTAGACTTGCAAAATCAGCGTCACGGGCTAGTGAATATTCCTGGTAGTGTTTTGGAAGGCGCAAAAGCAGCATATCTTGCCCAGAAGAAGAGATCGCAGCAGCAAACACCGCAAGGTAAAAAACGAGGTGCCAGTCCTGGTCGGTCAGGGAGCAGCAACCGCAAGCGCATGCGGAATGAAGATGGAAATACGAGCGTTTCAGGGTCGAATTTTGACAAACCACCACAATCCTCTCCCGAAAGATCGATACCTTGGAGTCCAAGCCCTTCCCGCGATCAAATTAAGGATTCAACCTCTATACAAGCAGCTATCAACACAACTACGCAGTCCTCAATCGCACACGAAACCCCAAAAACGACCACTGTAGGCCCACCACCGCGAACCTCAAGACCGATGCTCGCCCCACCGCTATCAGACGAATCTGAAGATGATATGGAAACGAGAATCCCAGACGCCCAACCTCTCCGCAACGTCCCAATCAACCGGATAGCCGTTCGTTATCATCCATCGCAATCGACTACGCAATCTACAGGTCCCATGGCTACACCTCCATGCGCGCAGCCGAGCAATCCCACGCAATCCATTATACCCGAAACCGTCATGGCAAACAGAGCACCAGCGAAGGTGAATGGAAGTCCAGGGAAAGGGAGAGCTCGGATTGTGTTCAAACCTATCGACGTTGACGATGTTGGCAGAAAAAGGAAGAGAAGTCACCCTGAGAAAGAACGCCTGGCACCGACGATTATGCCTCCAGTAATTGATAGTTCGATGCCGTCTTCCGAATCTTGCATTCCCAACACATACTGTGTGCCCACGACCCAGGAGTCTATCAGGGAGTCTATCGAAGGTAATGAAGAGGATGATGAAGACGAGAGCAACGATCAAACCGAAGAGATAATACCGTCAACCAACGATCAAGAGGCTCCCGTGAAGAGAACGCCCAACCGCCGTCCGGCCTCCGCCACTAAGCCCAAGCCTGTTCCTGAGATCAGAACTACTGCGAACCAAGACGGGCCAACCGTGCAACAAGAAGCCAAACAACGTCGGGTCCAACTACAGGCACAAGAGAATCAGGTGCAGCAACAACAAACCCAAAGACAAAGGGCCCAGAAACCGACCACTCCACAGACAAGACCACATGAACGAACGGCATCAACAAATTCTCGCAAACTTTTGGAAAGCAACGAGCTGGTCAGGAGGTCACAATTGCCTGTACCACCGCGCATAGCGCCGGGTACTCCTCATGGGCCGTTCGACACCTTTGTGCAACACTATCCTGGATACGCAAGTGGCAATGATGGTCAGACAGCACCAGGCACCAAGCTATCATTCATTGAAGCGTGCCTATACCTGAACTATCTTCGTCCAAAAAGCCTGCTTCGAGACTGTTTGTATGACGACTTTATCCGAGCCTTCCCCTATTTTAAGGAATACGTGGATCGCGCCGGGAGATCAGCCATGGTCGCTATTAAATGGTTCAACAAGCAGAAAGGGCCCCCACTGTTCAACAAATACTTGGTACACAGGGGTAATCTCAGTCACATCCTGAGGTCATGCCCGGAAGAGTTCAACGAAGCGAACCAAAAGATTTACAAGAGGAAGGATGATGACGAGCTCAGCATTTATACAAGTTCAAATGATGAAGGAGAGTCGAGCGAGGAGGAGAATCTGTCAAGCCCCGTGTCGAAGAGGTCGAGCCGAAAGGATCTTTTGAGTTCGGTAACAAAAAAGACGAACGGAAAGACCGCGGATGACTTGCAGCCGGTTGAAACGATTGAGAGTGACACGGACATGGAAATGTCGGAGATGCTTCCGGTCCGTGAAGCGAATCCTGTGAGGAGATCGTCTGGGGCTTCAGTTAAGAGAGCGGAGCAACATACAAGATCTAATCCCACATCTGCAGTGAGTCAAAGAACAAGGCCAGCGCCACCTTTGTCCTCCACGGCACGTAGGACCACGTTTCCCGCGCAACCTGAGTCTTCACAAGCTCAGGATATCATGACTCAAGCACCTCGTCCACCTTCGCCCAAGATATCAGACACATCGATGCTGCCGCCCTCAAGTGCGCCTAATTCTACATCGGGGTGGAAAGCCCCCCGACCCTCACAGTATTTGGAGACGCTCGTCAAAGGGGGAAAGAAGGGACAACCCGGCTTCCATTATGGCCCCAGCTCGAGTAACAGATTCAGCTCGAGTAACCAAGTCACCTCGTCACCGGCGCTTCTTGATCAGAAGAGACGCGACCGACTTCGAGCACACTTCAGAAAGAGTCTATCAGCTCAGAAAGCCAAAAATGGCACAACACAAAATGCTAGGAGTAGCAGTGGTCAGACAAGATGATCTGATGTTCGGGGGATTACTGTATTTTAGTCAGGAGTAAGATGTCGGTGGGGATTGGAGGACAGGCGTCGGTTGTTTTCTTGATCAATATAGATACCCCAAAAGTCGCTGCTGGCTGTCAGCGGCCATCAGCAAAAAGTTCTCACGAAGACATGTATTACTAAAAGGAAAAACTGGAAAAGGGCTCCAAAGCATAGAGAAGAAATGGAATCAATTTCGGTGGCGGAAAGAACTGTCTATTTGTGCGTGGGCAACATTTTCTATGGTAAGCTAGCTGGTTCGCGAGAACCTGAACCTGGCCTAATTAAAGGACTGACAGCATGGGCGATGATGCAGAAAGATCAAGACGTGTAAGAGAAGAGAGTTACCGAAGTCGCAGGTCCCTTTGTCCTTCTCTTCCTCCCAGTTTCCGATCATTCCGTAAAACAAAATTATTCTCCCGCCGATACTGCCAGTCGTAGTCGTCTCCAGTTCCACGGGGGGGTATCATGCAATTTTTCTTTTTCTTGAGGTTCCCAATCTTTTTCAAAATATCTCGCTCCGTGGACACGACTGCTCGCTGCCCATCATCATCATTTCGACGTAGATCATATGCGCCTTTAATTCCATTTTCTGCTAGCCCCCCAATCCAATATATATTGTTTGTGTTTTTGAGTTTTTGCTGAGAAAGTTGAAAGAATTCCGGGTTTGGTGTTCCATTTTATATGTCGTCATTCCTGGTCATTAGCGGTCATTATAGTTGGTGCTTTGCTTTTTTTCTTCGTGAGAAGATAATCATCTCTTTTTGCTGTCGCGATGTTCTTGCTGAGGTGGTTCTTTGCTGAAAATTTACTGCTGGTCTGCTTCAGCAGCGGCGCGGGCGGCGGCTTCGGCTTCCTTCTTCTTCCTTTGGCGAGCTTCCTCCTCGGGAGTCATGGTGCGCAGCTGGAGAGCGTGGATGCCGTTCTCCTGGGCCATCTCGTCGCGGAGAAGGGCGTAGACCATGCGGTGACGGGCGGGCTGCATCTTGGAGTTGAAGGCATCTGAGGTGATGACCACTCTGATTTGTCACATGTTAGCGACCGATCTCATGTCATGCAGAAATTTGTATGTGTATGTATGGATGACAAGAGTGTGTCACGCGGGAAGGAATGAGATGAGATGAAGTGAGATGAAAGTGAGATGAAAGTGAGATATCATGATATGATGATTTCATAGGCGAAATCTCAAGTTTCACGACTTCGCTTGAATCGTTACAAAGAGCGCAGTTCTTACCGAAAGTGTGTCTCGCCAGAGGTGGTGTGCTCCATGGCCTTGTGGTGAGAGTGCAGGTGAGAGTCGTTGTAAATCTCCAGAGTCTGGGGAGTGAAAGCAGCCGTGATCTATAGTTTGTTAATATCACATCCCCCCAAATCTGAGAGTCAATCGTACCTTGGCGCGAATAGTATCCTCAACGGGCGTGGTGGAACTCATGGTTGAGAACTGTCGGGGGAGGCTTGAGAAGCCGAGTGCGTATCGTCGATACATTGAAAGAGGAGAGTTTTTGGAAAGCGGCGCAGTTAAAAAGTCCCCAAGACAAATTTGGTAAAAGGTCGACTGTGGATCTGGGATCAAGTCGACACAGCTTAAGCAATTGCGAATTCCCCCGGTTCTTAAGAGCTGAGAATTTGCAGGCGATTTTAAATTGAAGAGGATATTTTTATCCTTTTTCAACTTGAATTATTCCTCCCCAGAGTGGAGCGGTAATAGATCGACAGGGCGAGTTTTGATGGTGGGAGCCAAGGCAGGTTTTTTGTGGTCAAGAGAGTTTCCGACTTTTTGAGTTTATGTTGTCGGTCTACGGGTTCCCAAGTGACGTGATACCGAGTCGAGCTGAGTGGAAAGTCGGAGGAGGAAGAGGAGGAAGTGAAAGTGGAATTTAAAAAGAAATCGGGATAGAGAGAAGATACAAGCGGTTTTAATATAAGTCAATGCTTGCCATGGGATGGGGGAGGAGGTGTATGAATAGGAGTGCAGTACTATTATAAGCTACAAAGTAAGGTAAGGTAAGGTAAGGTACATTGACATTTGACATTGCGGTAAAGTAAAGTACTATGAAGTGGCGGAACACGTTCATTCGACCTGACCAAAAGTAAAGGATAACACGGTCCAATCCAGTTTCAGTGACAGTGAGTGACTGATTTGTGCAATTGACAACTCAGGAGCCCGTTCTCCGTTTTGGTATCAAGTCGGTGAGGGAACAGGAACCTAAAGGTAAGGTAAGAGAGACTGACAAGGCAAGGCAGAGCAAGGCAAGGCAAGGCATGGTAAAGAAGCAAAGACGAAGCAAGCCACATAGACAGACATTACACGCATACCGACAGATAGTCTAATGTACAGTACAACTGCTACTGTAATGTAATGTAATTCATGAATCTCAATATGTACATGCGCTGCACTCTATTGTACCTAGCTGAATTACAGTACTATACACCCTCCCTTTCATGCTGCAGACGGGTTCGTCGCAAAGCTTCTATCCATCCTTCCATAGCCCATCCCAGCCACCGTCCAAGCTCCCTCTCTCTCCTATCTAACCTAACTTAACTGGATATCCCAAAAAGCGCGGGGTGGTTTACCGTCTTTCCAACAGCCAAAGTGGCGGACAAGTTTTCAGATCCATCACAGTGGAAAACGAATCACACCCCCTGAACCTGGCACTCTCTTTTTAGCAAATGATCAGCCGCCAATCTGCGTCTCAGTCCAGACGGCTGGGTCGGGCGTCGGATGGCCCTGACCGCCTGCGGCTTGGAGAGCGGTGAAGCCAGGAACAAGGGTTGATGGAAGTTTTTTCTTTTCTTTGTTGTTCTTGACCCTGGTAGATGTACATACATACATACGTTACGATTCACGAGGAGAGAAGTGTTACTCACATGAATACGGAAACAGACACCCTGAGGACACCGTCAGTTTGGGAAAAGGGCCGTCAATAACCCAATATCACTAGTTCTATATACCCCCCAAGCTGCAGACTTGACAGCAACACTGTATCCATAAAGTAGACCCAGTGGAGACCCCTCTTCAACTCCCAAAGCTGGAGCTTTTCTGTAGGTAAGGTACCGGCCCAAGCAGGCGGGATCTGTCTGGTGTGAGAAAAGGTGACAGTACTGTAGCGGTCTCGAAAGACTGCATTACCGTCTGGGGGGCGTCTTGTCAAGACTGCATGGCATCGTAACCCACCCACGTATTCGTTTCGTTTTCTCTTTTCTTTTCTTTCCCTTTTTTTTTTCCTGTTTCTTTTTGTGCGTTGTTGTTTGGATGGATGCCAGCGGTTAAAACATGAGAGAGACAAGGTCTTGCTTGACTTGACCTACACTCTCAACGGTTGAGGTGTACATGTACATGTACATCCCTACTCTTGGTGCAACTTTGTAAACGTACGTGCAACCAAACCGTGAATAATATCAATATGTACAGTTACTTTGTGTTGCATTGCAGGCCACACACAGTCGAACGGTTCCTCAAGCCTTTCCCTCCCCATCCCCCAGCTAAAACAGCCAGACACGCGGACGCATGGCTAGCTGCCGGGGGTGCTGGTCTCATCCCTTAAACGAAGCAGCTCCCATTGGCTTTGTTTTTTCATATTCGCAACACACTAACTTTGACCTCCTCTCATGGTTTTGCGGCTTCTAAGGAAAATATGGTACGTACCCTCCGGGGAAAGCAGCCGTCCGTCCCCGGAACCGTGAGCCGAAGCTGGAAAAAACAAAAAAGAAGAGTCCACTCGTTGGCTCTAGTTTAGTTAGACGTTAGACGTTAGACGTTAGAGCTCTTGGAAGCTTCACCTTAAACTCCATCACCAAAAAAGCGTTCAGCTTATGTTCATGCGCTTGCGGATCAATCAAAACAGAATTCCCCTCTTTTCGACTCCTCCCCTCGACTAACCGTAGATCCTGTCGTTCTTCGGCAAATGAGCCGGTGAACCTGTCGTAGCATCGAGCTGAAGCTTCGGATTGGCCTGATACCTACTTCACATTTCACATCCTTGTCACTCTCCCCGGCCTACAAACATTCGTTCGTCATGTCACTCCTCCGCTCTATCGTCGGCCGGCGCAATGCAACCTCCGCTTCCTTCATCAGCCTCTGTCCCGCTGCGAGAATGCTCTCCACGCTACCGCGTTTACCGCTCTTCGAGGCCGTCTCTAAGCATGACCCGGAGTCCAAGGCTGTCGTCCATTCTCTCTCTGGTCGCACCTTCAAGTATGGAGAGCTTCTTGGTGATGTGAGTCGCGCGAGGGATCGCCTTGCTGAAGCTGCTGGTCGTAAGGACCTCAATGGCGAGCGCATTGCTTTCCTAGTGGAAAATAGCTATGATTACGTAGGTGAGCTCATGACATGACCCATTTGATGTGACTGTGATATTGATGATGTCCGTATAGTGACGCTTCTGGCCGCAATGGCTGCGCGCTCCATCGCTGTGCCTCTATCTCCTGCATTCCCTGCGCCAGAGCTACAATATATTCTTAACCAGAGCGAAGCTTCATTGCTGGTCTCTTCGTCCAAGTTTGCATCTAAAGCTAAAGAGGTTCTTGCGACCGAGCTAAACACCAAACCGGCGCATCTCGAGCTTCAGAAGCGCCAAGGTGGGGGTAATCATGAAAAGGTCGAACTAGGTGACGCCGATCCAGGCGAAGCTGGTATGATGCTATATACTTCAGGCACAACCAACAAGCCAGTAAGTCAACATGTAGTAATCACAAAGACGGGCCTATGCTAAAACCTCTATCAGAAAGGAGTCCTACTGCCTCAAGCTGTCTTGACAGCCCAGTCTCGCTCTCTTGCCGAAGCTTGGAACTACTCACCCTCCGATCATCTTCTCCATGTCCTTCCCCTTCACCACATCCACGGCACGGTGAATGCCATCCTCACACCTCTCCTCGCCGGCTCGACGATCGAGTTCATGTTCCCCTTCAACGCCGATGCCGTGTGGAAACGCTTCTCAGCCCCCTTCCTTGCCAACGACGCATCCACGCCCAAGAAGAAAATCACCTTCTTCACAGTCGTTCCCACCGTCTACAGCAAACTCCTCTCATCGCACAAGAGCCTCTCCCCTGAGATGCAAGAAGCTACTCGCAAGGCCATCTCACCCGAGAATATGCGCCTCTCCATCTCTGGCTCCGCCGCTCTCCCAACGCCGATCAAGACAGCTTGGAAAGATCTCAGCCACGGCAACGTCCTCCTCGAGCGTTATGGTATGACCGAAGTTGGCATGGCATTGAGTTGCGGGCTCGACTTCTCAGATCGCGTAGATGCCAGCGTTGGCTGGCCACTACCATCCGTCGAAGCCCGTTTAGTCGACGTCGACACCAACGATGTGATCAAGGAAGGCGAAGAAGTCGATGCACAAGGCCGCGAGCGCTCAGGAGAAATTCAGCTCCGTGGTCCAACCATCTTCCGCGAATACTGGCGCAACCCATCCGCAACAGCAAGCGAGTTCGTCGAGGGTGAAGATGGCAAAGGCAAATGGTTCAAGACAGGCGACGTTGCAGTCCGTCGACCAGTTCCTTCCGCCAATGCTGCTCAGTCCTGGACTAATGGTCCTCTTTACTTCATCCAAGGCCGCAAATCCGCCGATATCATCAAGACAGGCGGTGAAAAGGTGAGCGCTCTGGAAGTTGAGCGTGAACTCCTATCTCTACCTCAAGTCGCCGAGGCAGCTGTAGTGGCCGTGCCTAGTGGACAATGGGGTCATAAGGTTGGTGCTGTGCTGGTTCTTGAGAACGACGTCAAGAAGTGGTCAGCGCTCGATATGCGCCGAGCTCTCAAGGATCGTCTAGCGAACTACAAGATTCCCCAGGTGATGAAACTCGTGGATCAAATTCCACGAAATGCCATGGGCAAGATCAACAAGAAGCAGTTGGTCAAGAGCATCTTCCCTGATGAGACAAGCGGCGATGAAAGCTAAAAATTAAATAACTGTATAATTCTATAATCACTGTGTCAATAGCAAGTTGTGGCCGATTGATTAAGCAAAGTGATAGCATTTTACTGGCTACCGGAATTTTGTGTGAAGCTACCAGATTTGGTCGGTCAAAAGTACAAATCTATTTTTCTCCCCTCTGTGGCTGACTTTTCATACTTCGTGATGCCACTAGAGAAACAGCCCCTCCTAAGCAACGCCGGTATAATATTGAACCAAATGAAATCAAGGATAGGCATGGCCGATTCGGAATGATCCTCGCCATTGTCCAGGCCGGCAGCTTCCCTGCCCTGCCGCTTCGTCATCAACCACTCGTCGACCTCTGGTAAATCGCCGAGTGAGCGGCATCAAGTTCAGAAACGTGAAATGGTCATTATCGGATATCGTGCTAAATCAACGTCGTGCCCTCGCGTAACTAGTCGCACATTCTTAAACAACGTGCTTGGCCTTGGCCCTTGTGCTTCCAGAGTGAGCACTGTCGGTGTGACCAGAGAACTCAACCTGCTCAGTAGGGGGCAGCTCAAGGACCTCCTTGAAGCGGCGTCCAATAGACAGGAGAATGTCCTTACCCTTCTCGGGGCTACGTCCCTTTCCGCCAGCAACATCACCCTCACCTCGACCGGGGATGCTCTTTCCGATGGTGCGAGTCCAGACACCAACACGGAAGAAAGCCTTACGGACGTTGACGACAACACCCATGACCTCACCATCGTCCTCGTTCTCAAGGGTCTCACCAATGGCGCCCATCATAACCTGGAGCCAAAGACGGTCGATGTCGACATTTCGCTTGTCCTTGTACTGGTAAGACCACTTGCCACCGTGCTTGTTCTGGGGGTCCTCCCACTCAGGGCGGACGCCCTCCTTGAAGAGATGGTAATCGGACTTGAGAGATAGCTCGGATACAGGGGCGACGTTGTTCTGGTAAGGTTAGAATCGTTATCGACATGGGCGATGTTTTCAACTCACATAGACACCCCAAAACTCTTCAACGGAGTCGAAGGTGATAACTTCCTTAAGGAGATCATTCCAGTTGTCACCCTATCGTTGGTATTAGTATTTAGATATCGTCATGCAAGTACAGTATTTCGCACCTTTCCACTCGGGGGCTTAGTGAACCAAAGAGTCCACTTGTTCTGGAGAGGGTGCTTGACGTTGAAGTTGTCCTTGTCGTGAAAAACAGTGACGGGCTTGTCGTCCTTGACGTCGGAAGAATCTTCCTTGCCGGCGGGGTCGACGGGGATGGTGGTAAGGTCGACTTGCTCGTCCATCATGGGAGTTTCTGTTGCGGCAGCGGCCATTGTGTCGGTTATTTCTCGTGAGAATCGAGGTGCGAGAAGAAGGGTTTCGCGGATGGAAGATCGCGGGGCAGATTTAGGATGATAGCGGAGGCAAAGGCAAGCGGTGCTGTGCTGAAGTGGGGCGAGGAGAGGATAAAATAGAAAGATTCAAGCAGTTCCTTCTGTTTTGTAAATCTGTTTGCAACTTTGCACCAGGCAGAAGTCGCGACAATGCTAACAAGAGGGAAAGAGCTCAGAAGTGACGTTTGACGGAAGGTGCGTATAGATTGTGTGTCGCGAGGCGCCAGGTCAAAAATTCTTGGGTGCTGACCTAAAGTGGTAAAGCAAATGTTCACTTTCCTAAAGGGCTGTTGGTGCCTTGTCCTGTTCCTGTTTGGCCTAAGATTTGAGGCTTCAAATTTCTATCCCAACCTGCTACTATCTCTAAACGTTTCAGACAAGCGATTCTCTTTCAAACTCCCTTGCAGACCAGGTATTCGCATTGATGAAACAAGGGTCAGTAACAAATATTAATTGAGGCTGAAGTCAAAGTCGAAGCTCCTTGGTTTCAACATGGGAGTTCACGTGCCAAGAAAGATCCTCTATGTCCCCAATCTGAACCAAACTCCTGGGACTTTGATTTCCTGACCGGTCCCTTTCATGTCAATTCTTTGATATCCACTAATAGGAGTTTTTGTGCCAAGGCACAGAGGACAAACCGAAAACAAGGGGGTTTTCTTTCTCCTGATCTCATCCGCTTTGTCCAGGCCTCAAACACATGTGCAATACAGACAGTTCACAGTATATCCACAAATAGAGTTACAAACCTGACGGTTAGCTAGCGTCAAATCGGGCCTCTACAGACTACAAAATTCAATGCAACTTGACTGCATATGACGCAGTATTGTCAGTCACGCGGATATCTAATTCGGAGGTAGCACGGATTATACGCGTTTATTTTATTCTTGGAAGTGAGCACATTTTGGGTTGTGATTCCGAAGCGCACAACTGCCAAGGTGCTGTGCCCATTTGCATTGGATCTCGAACATGGCAATGCGCTGTCATCTGAGTACATAATTGTTCAAGTCATTACTACAACTCTGTAGCCCCCAATTACTCCACTTGCAAACAGTTGAATGCTTCTGCAAGACTTGAATCGCTCATACCTCACACCATTTCTCATGCAGGCTGAAATCTAGACATTCCTCAAGCGCCGGTACATCGCACCAACGGCTACAGCCAAAGGATAATCAGAGCTTACACCTGGGCTAAATCAAGGGACAAAGGGAACAGCACAATGATTAACCCAGCTTATACCTACAAACGGCAAAAGCGGTTTCACATAATTCCTTTCGACCAGTCAGCTGCTTCCTCCTGACCAACTTGTGCCAACTTCAACATTGCTGCGTCACTTCTCCCTTGAATGAGGCGTCCAAACCATCGATTAAGCCTCAACGATCGCCCACCACGAGCCAGCTTCACCATTCACAAACGAGCTTGGTCTACCAGGGGCGGGATTTACGTGAACTCTGCTTGCCTCTATTGGTTTTTTGTAAACATCACTCGTCCCACAAAGAGAGTGACAACTGGTGCACACCCGCTTCATTACGTTTTCTACACCATGATCTTGTCCCAATGATCACCAAAGTTCCAGCGCTAGCTTCTCATGCAGGAGCTTCAGGCACTGCTCTGGCCAGTCTGGAATGCGAACGCGTCTCACAAGTCACGATTTCCATCCCACCCTCTGTCTCTTGAGCCCCTCATTCATGAGCCATCATCATCCGAGACCTGCGCGATCAACCGTGGGCTGACCAGGGTGGACATGCCGATGCTTTTCGTCCCATATCGACCTAACTACTCCAATTCTCCATATATAGAACAAGTTATAATAAGGCCCATCCCCCCGTAAGACAAAGAAGCTTCCCTCTCAAGTACACCATCTTGAACTACCTCTTTGTTACCTATACCAAAGCTCTCTTCAATTTACTACCAAACCACCTCTCATCATGGAGCCTGAGACTCGAGCCACTTCCTTTGAGAAGGATGCCCCCAAGACAAAGGACAATGCTCCAAAGGGCAAGACCAGAAGCAATTCACTCTTCTCCATCAGCTCTGGCTTCACTTTCTTTGCTCTTCCTGGAGGAACTAGCTCCTCGTCTTTCAGGTCATCCTCTTTCCGATAAATACCCAACACCAACTCTTGTTCTATTCTATGTCCTTCGTTTATACCAAGTCATTTTGTTTAATTGTTCTTTTACGCCCGATCTGCTGGTCCAGCTGCGTTTTATATCCAACGACATATTTGATACAAGTCGCTTCCCTTTTGTTTTACCTCGCATATCAGAATGAAGGAGTTACGGTTCTTTGAGCCCAGTCGTTGCAGTCTTGACTTCAAAATACTCGGTACAGACTTTGCAGACGAATTCTACGAAATTTTATTCAACGACCTCTTTGCCCAGATCTTCGCCGTCGCTCATTCAGCCTTTCATCCTGGCGACGTCTCTAAACCCCCTCGGACTTCTCTTTGGTTGAGAGAGTACCCGGAGGAATTTCTCAAATATGTCGAGCTTGTCGCTTACCCTGATGCACGCGCAGGGGCGTGGGGTAGACTTCTTAGTGATGGAAACGAGAGAGTGAACCTGATTATCGCAATCATTTACCAGGTACTCGACAAGAAAGTGTTCTCGCCGTTGCTATTTGGAGCTAGTTCGGGACATGATGAAGCACTAAAGAAGATCGATACTGCACTCATCAATGTAGAAGGTGTGTAAGGTAGCACAGCATTTGTTGAACATCAAGCTGACATTGATCCAGGATTCCAACGAAGTAGCCTTCGCTCCCATACCACCCGAACGTGGCTCCGAATGTCCAATGGAGAACCTCCCCGATTTTGGGAAGAGGTTGATAAGTTGTGCACCCAGACGATGGCCATGTTACTTCCTTTCTTCACCTACACGAAAGGGGCCACCAACTCCGACTCTATCCCCACATCAGAGCTGTACCAGCTATATCAAGCACTGCATGATGTAATTGCATTTGCCGGTTGGGTCAGTGTATGCATACGCATGTCGCCTGCTATCGTCTCATGGGATTGGACCCTCCCTGGAGAACCGTTCTCAATGGACCTCGTCAACCACTGTCACGAGGCATACGAAGCCTCAAAGAGGGCAGCGCATGATTACCATGCGCGTCTCGGCAACTTCAGTTCCCATGAGAAGACTTTTGCGTCACCTGCCAGAGTCAAGATCTCAGTGACACCTCGCATCGTTCGTCACAAGCCCAACCCAAAGTCAATGGCAACCCAGGGTGTCAACTCTTACACGTTGATGGAGCCCCACGTGGTATACTACGAAGGATTCTACAACAAGACGGATGAGAGTAGAGCGTTCATTAGTCTTCACGATTACATACAGATGCTGCGGGATCGGAATTGTGTTCCACGTTATACTGCAGTTTCCATTATTGCTGTTGTGCTGTTTTTCCTCTTCATTTGGTTGGTTTGGTATTCTTCCTTGGTTGAGCAACTATGGCATGTGGTGCAGCCTTTGGTACAGTTGGGACAAGATAATGGGCCTTGGGTGATGGAGGACGTCACAGACACTACACTCACTAGCACTCCTACAATGTCTGGTTATATATAGAAGGATGTAAGTGCAAGCCACTAACTGAGACTTCAACAAAATAAACTCTGTCAATATGAACACAATCCTTGAAGGAGCCATTTCGCAAGATTTGTGTTTAAATTGAGAGAGTTTATTTTGTTGAAGTCTCAGCTATAGTGGCTTAATTTGTCAAGAGTGTTTGGTGATTGATTTGTTTCGAGTTATAGTTTGATACAATTTAAAGCAGTTCAGTGCGCATTACCTACTGAAATATAATGAATACATCCTTAAACAGCATGGAATTCGTTGATGCTCGTCATCTACTTGTGAGAGTGCAATTTCAGATAATTGGCTATTGCAACACTACAAAGCCGCATCTTCAGAATTGATGAACTGATACTACGTAATAAGAAATCCAAGACCGTTCTGAAATGACAAATTCGTCTTCCATGTGCCCAAGCAGCACAGTTTTGATGTCTTGGAGATATTCTGCAGGGTAAGCTTCCGGCTACTCATCACATTACTGAGCGGCACATGTACTCAATCAGCAAACGGGTTAACATCGGCGAATCACCGCCACAGTTGATCGGCTTCCATAGC